AATGTCTTCTTTTCTTCCTAGATGTTGTTTTTGTATCTTTCTCAAAAATTTCTATTTCACCCTACATAAAATCAGCTCATGAGTTTATTATCTTGACTTTTAAAAATGTATTAATATCTGTTTATTAATTTGTTCTTTCCACTTTTGTAGGGAACATTTAATTGCATTTAGTATAATGTGATTGGATTAAAAGCTTAGTTAATTTGTTTCACTCTTAGTTTCCTAAAAAGTACATATTAGGTTATACATTTTTTTCTGGGTGACACTTTGACCTATACCTTAGAGCTTTTATTTTTATTAGTATTTTCTCTTTTGGAGTGGTTCTATGGACTGAATCCAGGGTCTTCACACTGAGCTACATCTCCACCACTTAAAAAAAATTTTTTTAAATTTTGAGACAGAGACTCCCTAAGTTGCCCACACAGGCTTGAACTTTCTATCCTCCTGCCTCAGCCTCCTAGAGTATGCCACCATGCCTGGTTCTCTTTCTTTTAATTCTAAATACTTACATTATTCCTCATTACACTCCCCTTAAACCAAAGATCAATCTTGTATATTTCACTCTCCATGCATTAGGAACATTTTATTGTCTGCTTGTTGTTGATTTCTATTTTCATTTTATGGAGCTTGAGAATATGGCTGATGTAAAACTAGGTTGATAGGTTTATAATTTTTTTCCTGGCCTACTTTGTAGAGAGTTTTTCAGTATGCTTGAAAAACAATTCATTCTGTGGTTAAAACATAAGACATGGACATCTAATATATAAAGCCAGTTCTGTTATTCTAATATAGTAGCCTTATATCTCTCCTTCTATTTGATCTTCAGATGGGTGTGTTAGTTTGTCACTATGATTGTGGATTCCTGTTCTAATGTTGGTACATGCCTATAATCTCAGCCACTAGTGTTAGCATGTTGGTGGGAGGATTTCTTGGTCCTTATGTTCTCAATGAATTGTCAAGACATACAAAAGCCTTGTGAAAGTAAAGACAAAAACAAATTGCAAAGAAAAAAACAAAACAGTGCAAGGCAAAAGTACACCATTAAGGGAAAAGCCAAGTGGTACTTGCACACAGTGGCAGTTTAAATTTCTTTTTATACCTGGACAGCAACTTCCAGGGCTTAGGGAACTCCATTCCCTTGGTGATTACGCTTACAGACATTCTATTTTAGAATTTACCTTGGAATGTTTATACTTTACTTGTTGCAAAACTTCTTTTTTTGTTGTTCTTTCCAGATGATTAGTGTTTTCTCTGAAGTATATACTATTATCCCAGTGGGTTTACTCATATATGATATCTTAAAAAGAAACTTAAGAAAACTGAAATCTAGGTCAAATTTTACTTTAATGTGTATACCATGGCTATATCTCAAAGTCTTTTGTTCTCAATTTTGTTTTCAGTGGGTCATTGGCCATAGCAATGAGGAATGCTGACTGTCTGATTTTAAGAATCAATGATCCTGAAGTTTTGGCTAACCATGCAGTGCAGCCATGTGTATTGTTATGGTTTAGATCAATTATGACCCCCCTAAAATTCTCACGTGCTCAGGGGTCTGGCTTTTGGAAGGTGACTGGATCACAGGGGCTACTGCTGACTTGCTATTAGGAGGTGGGGTCTGGTTGAAAGAGGCAGGTCACCGAAAAGGTTGTATCTTGCTCCCTAGGCTCTCCGTTCACTTTCTGTTTTCTTGCCACCATGATGGAAGCAGTTTCCCTCCACAGCATGCCTTTCCACCATGCTGTTCCTGCGTTGGAGCTGGTTGACCATGCAGAGACTGAGACTTTTGAAACTGTGAACCAAAGTAAACCTCTCCTCCTTTAAGTTGTGGGTATCAGGTATTATGTTCCAGTAATAAGAAAGTGACTCCTTGGGCTGGGGATTTAGCTCAGTAGTTTCTCTACCTGCTGCGCAAGCGCAAGGACCCGAGTTCGATCCCTGGTACAAAAAAAAAAAAAAAAGAAAGTGACTAAGACACGGTCTGACCTTATGATTTTATTATGTTGTATAAGGACTTTAAAAATCAGAGACTGAACAGTTCTAAATGTATTATATAGAGAGGTCTTTATTTTAACTGTAATTGGCATGGATGATACAGCATTCACTTTATTTTTTATCACACTTTGTAAAGTCATTTAGGAAAGACGACTTCCAGAAAGTGGCAAGAAGAATGGGGTAAGTGTTTGACCTGAGGGAGAGTAGTTTAAGGGGAATTAATGGTAATGTGTCTTTTGTTGCAATAAAAAATTTAAATTTAAACATTAAAAAAACTGTAATTGGCAGAGCATGTTGTTTTGATCCCCCTTGCCTCTCACACCTGCTAATATCTAATTACCTGCCTAACACTTAGGAGATTGTGCAGGAGGCTTGCAAGTTCATGGCCAGCCTGTGCAATTTAGTGAGACACTGTCTAATGATAAAATAAAAAAATTTTAAAGGGCTGGGGATGTAGCTTAGTGGCAGAGCAAGCATGACACCCTGGGTTCAATTCTTAGTAATGTAAAAATTCTGTTTTGTTACTTTTTGCTGTATATAACTCAGAACTACTGTACATCGTTAGATAAACATTAAAATTATTGTATGCTCTTGGTGGCTGCATCCTTTAAAATATGAGAAGTCCCTGATAACATTCTGTTGCCTTGAAATCTGTATTTGTATAATACTATCTTTGTACCTGCTGTCTTCTTGATATTAATCTTTGTAAATGTTTTTACATTCCCTTTGAAGTTTTTACTATGAAAACCACACAAATACTAAAAATGAGAGACTACTGTAATAAACTGTGTTCATCCTGCTTAAACATTTGTAGACACTATTTTCTTCTTGTTTTGCTGATAAACTTCTCAGTGGAGTATTTTTAATTTTTATTTGTATTACACATTTGCAATACACAATGATTATATGCATCATAGGAAGTTGGTATACGTACTATGTATGCAGTACATAATGCTTACATTCCTTGTGTGGAGTTGGTACATGTACATAACATATTTTAATTCCTTCTTTGATCCCTTTTCTTTCCCCTCCCCCCTCCTTCCTCCATCTCTTGATCCCATTCCCCTTTGAGAAAGATCTGTCTCCCTACTTCCTATAACCTATCTTTCATTTTGCTCTTTATTTATAATTTGGGTTTCTCATATAAGAGAAACCATGTGCTATTTAACTTTGTGTGTCTGATAACACATCTTGTTTTTATCCCCTTCTCTTCTCCTTCCATCTCAGTGGAGTTTTTAAAACTACTATCAATCCATGCATAAATATTTTCATGTGAATCTTAAAAGATACATGGTTCATTTTAACAGAACTACCTAACAAACTTAGCAGTAATCTTTAAGCATCTGGTATAATGTATGCTCACAAATAGATTTCCACAGATTTTTTTCCTTAAACCAGATTTTGAAAGCAGGAAAAGAATCTGGGATAAACAAGAGTCCAAACCTCTAACTGCCTCCCTCCTTCTGAGAGGCAATGAAAGGGATCAAACCCAGGCACTTGCTTATGCTGAGCAAGCACTGTACCACTGAACTACAACCTGAGTCCCAGAGAGGTACTAATCTGAAAATATCCAACAGAAAAAGAAAAAGAAAGAAAGAAAACCATCATCACCACCACAAAAATAACTCAAAAAACAAAAAACAACCCCCCCCCCACATTACCCACCTGCTGGGACCCAACATTTTCAGTAGAGCACAGAACCTCCCGCTGTCAGGTAGCACCTCCTAGCATAAATAGTACCTAAACTGGGTCGAAATATTTTGAGGTTCACAAGATAAAAGGATTGCATCTTTACACCCTCTGACCTGTAGTCTCATAAAGGCTGTAAAGCAGGGGTAGGGAGGTTGGAGGTAGGGGTGGGGGGAGAGTTAGCGGCTTCATAATTTTCATATCGAAGTTAAGGAAGGTCAGAGACTGAGCTTAAGGCTTCATTTACATAGGAAGGACATTATTAATTACATTTATTTATTTAATATTTTGGTACCGGGGATCGAATTCAGGACCTTGCACTTGCGAGGGAGGCGAATTACATCTAAAAGTAAATAAAAATAAGTCTTTTTAAGTCTTTTACTCACAGTTGATCATATTAAACATTATTTTTATTGCTGCCTACTGTTTTTCTTGAGGTAGGTAGGGTGAAAGGTAATGGAAACTAACGGGAATTCAAATCTCCCTTCCTTTCACCAGTCCTTCTGAAGGGGACACTGACTTCTTCGCCTCTTCTTGGCGTATGTCTCAGAAGACTGAACAATACGTATTACCCCAACTTCTACTCTGATACTTTCTTCCATTAAAGATTGTACGGAGCTGGGCGTGATGTCGCACGCCTGTAATCCCAGCCCTCCGGGAGAATCACAGTAGTTTCGCATGTTTGAGCCAAGCTTAGGCTCTGTCTCAAAATAATAAAAAGGGCTGGAGATGTAGCTCAGCGGCAGAACGCTCCTTTGTTCAATCCCAGTACCGAAGGCAGCGGGTCATACCGCCCACACTAGGGCATACCACTAATTCTGACGTCTTAGTGTCGCTAGGGGTTTGACCAGGAACGGACCTCTCTGGGCCTCTCTCTCCCTGAGGGGTTTCTTCGTAGAGCGAGTCGTGCCAGCCTGATTTCTCCCTTAATTTCCGGATGGTTTCTCTCACGACCCTAATGGTTTTTCCTCCCATAGACCCCTATCTCCCGTGGTTTCTTCCAGCAGGTAATTCTCTGCAGCGTGCTGAATCCCCGTCGGCAACTATCTTTTCTAAATATAACGTAAAGTATAACATAAAACTCCAGACCCCACTTCAGTACCGTACCTTCCTCTTCCCGGAAGCCACGGTGCTGCGTTCTACGTGACAATCCCAACTCACTCTATGAAACGACGGGGGATCGACTTTACTCTGTACGGAACGGATAAGCTTTCACGATGGCATCCCACATGAAGAAGCACTTCTGAGCGCAGCCATGTTTTTTTCCGACAGCGCCTCCTTGTAGAAACTGCACAAACCTACAAAGATTTATCTGTGCCATGTTGACAGCTGGTTTAAGGCCGGCGATGTAATTCAGAGCATGCGCAGTACCAATAGCCCCTCTGCAGGGAAGGGTTTTTAAAGTCGGACCGGAAGTGGAAGTGGTCCTCGGAGGCATTTTCGTCGCTGCTAAGAGTATTTCCATATTTTAATAGCGAGGAACCGCTGAGAGGATTTTGGTTGGTTGCGATTAGATTTGTGGACTCTCTAATGTATGTGTGTGGGCGGGTATAGTTAGTGATGGGCTTTGGGTTCAGTGATTTTGACGGGTCTGTGACGTCCGTCGAAGGTTGTCAGTGACGAAGGTCTGTCCTGTCAGTGATGGGCCCCTTTGAGATGAGTTATTGGCATTTGGGGGAAAATGATAGGAGTTTGTGATCAGTGACCGAGGGCCTGACATGTCAGTTCTGGAGATCGGTGGGTTATGTGCTTTCTCACCAGAGTAGTTCAGGTCATTAATTTTCAGCCTTTAATAGAATGATTCACAACTTTGGCGTGTAGCGTTTTTTTACTGTTCGAATTTAAGTGGGCTTTTTAAAAGTCTTTTTTTTTTGACCCATTTGCTACTTAGAAGTACATTTTCTATTTCAAATATTGTCTGGATAATGATGGATTTTAAAAAAATGCCTTATAGTCTATTTTGTGGCCAGTTTTCTTAAGTATCACATCTGTTACATTAAAAATAGTATGTATTTAATTGTATTAATTATAACAATACAACTAATATATTTATATATATATTAAGCATATATTTTACATGTATATCGCACATCTCCTTACACATTATTTTAATTATAGGGGAAGATAAATTCATGCTGGAAAGATGATTTGTCCATTTGTCCTTTTGTCAGTTTCTGCTCTCTATATTTAAAATTATACTATTAGGAAAATATGTGTATTTTTAATAAAAGATATGACTAAAGAATGCAAAGGATATTATAGCAATTAAATCTTCTACAAATAATTTATAAAAGTGTTTATTTTCTCAAATGTTTTCCAGCTCTGTATATTCTTGCTTTTTAAAGTGTTTTTGCAATTCTGAGAGAAAATTATATTTACTCTAATGCATAATTGCCACTTAGATTTTTAATTTATGTGAATTTACATATCTTTTGTCCAGCATTTTAATAACTGGTAGACTTTTTAACATTAGAAATAACCTATTGTCACATAATGAAAAAATTCATATATATATGTATTTCAATTTTTATGGTATATTTTAACATATAATTAGTAAATATATAATTGGAAATATCAGTTTTTCCTTTTATAACTTATGTGTTTTTTCTCATGTGTACTAATATCCCTCCAAGATCCTCAGAGTTATATAAAGATAATATTCTTAAAATATTCCTCATTATATACATGTATTTAAGTGTTCATCCTACTTGAATTTGTCTACTGAGCAGTGTGTGATGGTGATCTAGTTTGTTTTATTCCATATGGGTGGACAGTTATATTAGCATTATTTATGCAATGAATGTCTTGCATACACTCAGATACCACTTTTTACACATATATAGATCAGTGTAGTCTGTTACATTGTTTCTTGTTTTGATTACATCATTTTTTATTTGGTCTAATATCTGATAGTGATATTGTGGTGATTACTAATATTTATTGATTGATTCTTGGGTGCTAGAAAGGTATTGGATACTTAAAAACATCATCTTATTTAATTTTCATGACTTTAAGATAGTTTTTATACTTATTTTTGAAACTTACATTGAAATAATTTAATATTATCATAGCTGAAAAGAGGCTTAGTTACAATTCAAATCTGTAGTAATGTTACTCCAAATCCCATGCTTTTCCGATATCTTATCATCACTAATGCCTGTCACACAAAGATTTTGTTAAATTTTATATTCTCCATAGCACATTTTCTTCAATGTGGTCCCTGTAACAACAGTTTTAGCATTATCCAGGCTCAAGTTAGAAATGCAAATTCTTGGGCACTACCTACTGAATTAGAAATAGAGGCGGTAATGCTGAGAAGTTTTAACTGTTTAACAAGATTTCCAGATGATTTGACTGGGTACTCAAGTTTGAGAACCACTATTCTGTGGTGCCTAGCACATTGGTGTATGGAGGAAGTGTTTTAAGTGGTGAATGTTATGACTGACTATATGGACTTGGCCTTTCCAGATTTATTGGTATCTCTGGAAAGTCCCTGAACCAGATCTTTTTCCAGACTCCAGGTCACCTCCTCCCAACAGCTCTGCTTCAATTCACAGTGGAACATTAAGCTTCAAGCTTCTGAGGGAAGCAGGGTTGAGACCCAGTGTGACCATGCCAACAAATTGGACCTTACTCCAGAAATCCACAGGTCTGGCTCCAGAGAATCATAGCAGCTCATGTGAGGTAAGGAAGCAGCACCCCATGGGTGGGAATTTATCCAGGGAGCAGGTATCTCTGACCTATCACCAGAGTCTTAGGGCAGAGTCACAGGAAGCAAAACTTGATCTTGTCAAGAATGAGCAACACATAGGTAATGTGTCTGTAGTGGACTATCAGGGAAGACTATTGTTTACTGTATATGGTCATCACACTATCTTGATCTTTTGGCTGTGAATAAAATTCCTAGTTAGAAATCACTTTTGTAGGATTTTGAAGGTATTTCTCCATGTTGCCTCAAACTGCCTCTCCACAAAAGTTTTCTCTCCTCTTTTTCAGATGTTAATTCTTCATGTTTTTCTCTACTATTTTCTATTTCTTTGCTGCTCTCCTTAGAAACTTTGTCCTCCAGCCTGTCTATTGAGCTTCTCATTCAAAGTATTAGAAAAATATAAAAAGTAACACATATGGAAGGTATTATGGTGAAAGAAGTTCAAGGAAAGATGAGACTGGCTCACCAGCGTCCGTCCCCTGTGTGCCCATGTCTCCCAGTAGAGATGATCAGTTTTATTAGTTTTCTTTGATTGCTTAATTCTGTATATAAGTAAAAACAATTATAATTTTTTCTAGTGATTTTGCGAAAGCAGATGTATACTAGATGTACTTTTGTACATAGTTTGATAAAATACAAAGCATATTATGAGCAACATTACCGTGGACGTTCATGTTATTTCTTCCTTTTCTGTTAGATATAGAAGCAGCAGTGACATTTCATTTCAGAGTTGAGTCAAATGTAGTGAGAGTCTCAGCTGAATCTCAGTGAACATCCACTTCTGTTTCTGTTGAACAATTTTATGGTTGGATATCTTAATAATTTTTGCCTAGAAGGTAGGATGTAAAGAATGAGGCTAAAGCTGTGATAAAAAAGTAGCATTCACTTGTATTGGGCAGAATATAGGGACATTTATTGGTTTTTGTAGTTCTGACTTTTGTTTGTATAGGACATGATTACAAAGTGGTGTTTGTTTTGTCTGGCACCAGGATAAAGAGTAGGTCTTGTTTGATGTCAGTGTTCTCTGAGCATACCATGAAGCTAATGCAGCCAAGCCAACTCCTCGGAACACTGAAGCCTAATTATACCAGGCTAACAGTAAGGTTTGAAGGGCTGCTTTTCTCATTTAAAAAAAAGGAATGGGGCCCGGGATTTAGCTCGGCAGTTTTGCTGCCTGCTGTGCAAGCTCAAGGACCCAAGTTCGATCCCCGGTACCAAAAATAAATTAAAAAATAAAATAAAATAAAGGAATGGAAAGAAATTGACTCAGAAATAAAGACCAAAAGAAAGCTGCAATTTTAGGAAAAGATCAAAGGGAATTTAAAATAAAAATCATCCAAAGAAGGATAGTTCATACTTATTAAAGGAATAACACACAAAGAATTATAAAAATCACCAACATTTATTTAATAATGTATATCTGAACTGTATTAAGTACAGAGGGGACTCAGGAGGCTGAGGCAAGAGGATCACCATGAGTTTGAGGCCAGTCTGGGGTACATAGTGAGTTTGAGGCCAGTCTGAACTATATAGCAAGATCCTGTCTCAAAAATAAAGAAAGAAAGAAAGAAAGAAAGAACAGAGGAGCAGAAATTATTAAATGTACCATTGGCCATTTTATGAACTACTCTGAAAGACTAATCAGAGATAAAATAATAATTTTTTTTTCCAGAATATTGATCCTGTTCTTTGACCACAATGTTAGATTAGAAATGAAAAGTTTTGTCAAATGCTGTTTTTCTGTGTCAATTGATATGATCATGTGATTTTTATCTTGCAGTCAGTGACTGAAATAGACTTATACCACTTAAAATAATTTAGAAAGTAAATTTATGTATATTTACCACAATTTAATAACATAAATATTTCAGTAAATACCACAGTGCATTTTAAAGTTTATGTGCTAAAGCTAAACTGTAGATGGTGGGGGTGGGAATATAGATTTAAATGACTTTAAGGAATCCTGGACATTTAAAAAAATAAACCCAAGGTATGAGTTATGGTTTTAATTGTTAAAACAGAACAACTCAGAAAATGTAAAATAACAATAAGGATTAAAAATGATAAGGGAAGAAATAAGTTACATAGGGGACAAAGACGATAAGTTGATAAAGATATTTGAAAGAAATACAAGTTGCTTCTATGTAGTGATGATCAAGAGAAAGAAGTAAGAGGGCCGGGGATTTAGCTCAGTGGTTCCACCGCCTGCCTTGCAAATGTAAGGACCCGAGTTCAATCCCTGGTACAAAAAAAAAAGAGAGAGAGAGAGAAAAGTAAGAATAGCTGCGTGTGGTGGCACACTCTGGGAGGCAGAGGCAGGTAGATTGAAAATTTGAACCCAGCCTGGGTAAGTTAGTGACTAAGTAAGTCCCTGTCTCAGAATAAAAAATTTTGAAAAGTGCAGCATCATTTTTTTTAAAGAGACATTTCCCCCTCTGTATATATATGTATGTGCATTATGCCGTTGTCAAAAAACTTAGTTGATCATATGTATTGGAATTTATTTCTGGGCTCTCTTCTGTTCCATTGGTCTGTGTGTCTGTTTTTATGCCCATTGTATACTCTTCCCATTGTAATATAATTTTAAATCAGGAAGTATGATGTCTCCAACTTTGTTGTTGGTTTTTACTCAGAATTGCTTAGGCTCTTTGGGATCTTTTATGGTTCCATATGAATTTTAGGATTGATTTTTCCATTTCTGTGGTGGCTACCTTTAACATTTCAATAGGGATAGCATTGAATCTATATATAGCTTTAGGTAGTATGAACATTTTAATAATATTAATTCTTCTGATCCATGAGCATGGAATTTCTTTCCATTTGTATCTCTCCCCTTTAGTTTCTTTAATCAGTTGTTTTTGTTTTTTGTGTTATGGGGGGGGGTTTTTTTGGTTTTTTGAAACAGGGTATCACTATGTAGTTCAGGCTAGCCTTGAACCCACTATATAACCCAGGGTGTCCTCAAACTCTTGGCTATCCTTCTGCTTCAGCCTCCCAAGCACTGGGATTACAGGCATGCACCACTATGCCCGGCTTAATCAGTGTTTTATAGTTTGCAGTACAGAAGTCTTTTACCAGCTTGGTTAAATTTTTTTTGGGGGGGGTACTGGGGATCGAACTCCGGACCTTGCGCTTGCGAGGCAGGCGCCGGAACCACTGAGCTAAATCCCCAGCCCCAGCTTGGTTAAATTTACTCCTAAATTTTCTTTAATGCTGTGATAAATGAATTTTCTTGATTTCTTTTTTTGGTTATGTCTAATCCATTAGAAATACCATGTAGTTTTGTAAATTGTGTTTTGCAACTTTATGGAATTCATTTATTAGATCTAATTGTTTTTTTAAAAAGGAATCTTTGGGGGCCGGGGATTTAGCTCAGTGGTGCTGCCACCTGCCTCGCAAGGTCCAGAGTTCGATCCCCAGTACCAAAAAATAAATAAATAAATAAAAATAAATAAAATATAAAAGGAATTTTTGGGTTTTTCTATATATGGGATCATGTCCGTGGAAATAAAAATAATTTTACTTCCTTTCCAGTTTGGGTACTGTTTCTTTTTCTTGTCTAATTGTTCTTGATAGTACTTTCAGTACTGTGTTAAATAGAGTGGTGACAGTGGGCATCTTTGCCTCTAGATCTTAGGGAAAAAACCTTCAGTTTCTCCCCATTTTATATGATGTTACCTATGAGGTTTTTGGGGGTTTTTTGGGTACCAGAGATCAAACTCGGGACCTGGCGCTTGCAAGGCAGGCGCAGAAACCACTGAACTAAATCCCCAGCCTAGCTATGGATTTTTTATAAATGGCTTTTATTGTGTTGCGGTGCTTTCCTTCTTTACCTAAACTATTGAGTTGGTTTTCTTCTAAGTCAGAAAATATGTTGAATTTTGCCAAATGCTTTTTCTGTGTCAATTGATATGAGCATGTGGTTTTTATCTTTCAGTCTGTATATGGCATGGAGTGTTACACTAGCCTTGCATGCCAGAGATAAATCCCACTTGATCACTCTGTGTAATCTTTTTGATGTATTTGGTGAATTTGATTTGCCAATATCTTACTGATGATTTTGCATCAGTGTTCGTTAGAGATATTGGCATATTGTTCTCTTTTCTTGTGGTATCTTTGTCTGGCTTAACTATCAAGATAAGGCTGGCTTCATAAAATGTATTAGAAAATATTCCCTCCAGCACTATTTTTCCAAGAATTTAAAAAGTGTTGGTATAATTCTTTGAAAATTTGTTGGAATTCATATATTGTCTAAATTCTATTATTTCCTTATTAATTTTCTATCTGGTTGATCTGTCCACTGTTGAAAGTACGGAGTTAAAGTCATCCCTTACTATTATTGTATTTTAGTCTATTTCTGATCCACCAATATTTACTTGATATGTTTTGGTGATCTAATATTTGGTACATATAAAATTGTTATGTCCTCTTGGTGAATTGAGCCCTCTTTCGTTAAATTATCATCTGCTTTGTCTTTTGTGACAGTTTTTAACTTGAAGTCTACTTTATCTGATATATTTATAGCCATCCCACTCTCTTTTTATTACCATGGAATAACTTCTTCTATTCGGTCTCTTACAGGCAGCATTTAGATGGATCTTGCTTTGTTTTGGTTTTGTTTTGATACTAGGCCTTGCTACCTTGCCCAGGCTGGTGTCAAACTCATGTGCTCAAGTAATCTTTCTGCCTCAGACTTCCAAGTAGCTGGGACTACATGCATGTGCTACTGGGAACAGCTCTGGATCTTGTTTTTTTTTTTAATTTCATTTAGCCTCTCTCTGTCTTTTGATTGAAACCTAGTCCATTTACACTGAAAATACTTATTAATATATAAGAACTTACTGCTGTGGTTTTTAAAAATTATTTTCTGGTTGTTTTATAGATCTTTTATGCTTTTCTCCTTTATTTGTTGTTTATCTTTGTGATTTAGTGATTTTTCTGTAGTACTGACTTTTGATTACTTTGTTGTATATCAATTTCCTTTGTGGTAAACATGAGGCTTAAATAAAACATTTATAATAGGCTGTTTTATACTGAGAACTATTTTAGTCACACGCAAAAACTTTAGAGATTTACATTGTTTTCAATACTGGGAATTGAAGCCAGGACCTTTGTACTGAGCTACACCCCCAGCTCTTTTTTATTTTTTATTTTGCTGAGTAGCTGACTTGCCCAGGGTTCAAAACTGTGATCTTTCTGCCTCAGCCTTCCAGAGTGCTGGGATTACAGGCATGTACTACCATACCTAGCTACAGAGTGTCCTTAAGATTATTTTAAATTCTTTTTCAGGCAATTTTAAATTTCCATTAATTTAGGGTCAGTTATTAGAGAATTACTGTTTCTTTGGTGGTGTCATTTTCTTGCTTTTTCATGTTTCTTTTGTCCCTGTGTTGATGGCTGCACATCCAATGGAAAAGTTACCTCTTCCACAAGATGGGTGTGGTTATACACACCTGTAATTCTAGGACTTGGGAGGCTGAGGCAGGAGGATCACTGTGAGTTCAAGGCCAGTCTAAACTACATAGTGAGATCCTGTCTCAAACAAATAAATAAAAAATACTTCTTATATGCTTTACAGAGTGGCTTTTGTAGGTAAAACATTCACCTGATTGAGAAAAGTATGGTAGCTCTGGTTCCAAGTAGATGGAGTGATGTGCTCCACACAGTTTTTTAGCTATGATTGACATCAGCAATATCTGTCTGAGCCTCAGCAGCCTAGGCTGTAGGAATTTATAGCAACAGTGTCAGCATGTAGGTTGTTAAGGTCCATAGCGGGAAGGGTTTTTGGGGTTCTCCTTTTCTCATTTTCCCCACAATGGTGAGTCTTAATGAGGGAACTTCTCATTGTACCAAGTCTGATGTGGTATACAAGCAACTAAAGCAGTACTGGGTTCTAGGATACATATGCTCAGGCTGGGCTTAGATGCTCACTAACCTATTGTGGCACCTGCGTTTTAGGGATGCAGGTTCACTCTTTGAGTCAGAATTGGATGCAGATTGTCCATAAAGCCAGACTCTGTGACTCTGAGGCACCTGCAGTAGCTTGGGCATGCAGTCTGGGTTATAGCTGTGATTCTGATCCTGGGGGCAGACTAATCACTGGCTTCACTCTGGGGAAGAAGGGGTGCTCTGGAGAGTTAGGCTTGGGAAGCAGGATACGGCTTTAATTCAGGAATCAGAGCTAATAGGGCACAGTGGCAACTCAGGGCCCAAGGCATGAGGCATTGCATAATGGTGACTCTTGACCTTGGGTGGCACTACCCAGACTCCTCACAGCTAAGTGCAGCTACAGGAAAGACAAGAATGGCAGAATGCAGCTGTTTCTTGGGCCCGGGAGAGCAAAGCAGTACAGTTGTGACTATACTACTCGGGTTAGGGTGTGTCTGTCAGGGGTGTGTCTAAGCAGCTCAGACTCTAGGGCACCAGTCCAATTCCAGAGAAACAGGATACTTACTACCTCTAGGGTGGGGTTTCTCAGCTCAGTCAATGCTGTTTCCTTGCAACTTGGGATACTGTGTTAGCTCAGCCTGGGATATCTTGTTGCTTGGCTTGATGTGCTGTTTCAGCTCAGGCACAGGAAGGTGTGACTTCCCTGAATGAACAAGACACTTTACCCAGGGCATAGGGCATCACTTGACCTAAGGCCTCGAGGAGCAGGATGAGGAGCAGGGTACAGCAGCAGTTGGTAGGGGTAAATGGAATGGCTCTATGGTAGTTTGATCCCACCGGGTAGTTTGTCTCAGAGTTAGTAGGCCATTAGCCAGGAGTGGTTCAGTGACAAAGCCTCAGGGATGGAAAGGTACTCTGGCTACTAACCCCTGGAGCAGGATGCACCCAGCACAATGGTGTAGAGGGCAACAAGAGCCAAGGCACAGCGTCAGCTCCTCTGGGGAGAGTGCTGCTGTGTGTGCTCCAGGCAGTTCATTCACCTGGTTTTATCACCCATGAGGACTGTAAGAGTCCTCAGTGGAGAGGATGCACATGTTCAAGGGAATGATGATTACAAGAGTCTTCTTGCTTACCTTTTCCCTGCAGAGAAGAGTCTCCTTCTAGTTCTGGTATTCTTTTTTTTTTTTTTTTTTTTGTACGGGGATCCAACTCAGGACCTTGTGCTTGTGAGGCAGGCGGCAGAACCACTGAGCTAAATCCCCAGCATTAGTTCTGAGCTTATCTCTACTGAGGGGTGGAGTGGTGGAGTTTGTATTGCCTTTTGTTCTCTATGTGGCCATCCTGGGTTTTTGTGCTCTACACATTTTTTGCTACTCCTTTCATATGCTCTGGGACTCTTCTTTCGTTATTTTCATCAAAATCCAATTGTTTATTTGTTGTGTAAACTGTCTTTGTTGGTGGAATGAGTGCTAGGGTTTCTAGTAAGCCATCTTGCTGGCATCTCTCTCTGGGGGTGAGTTTTTAAAAGAGGACTTAAATTAACAAAAACAAACCCATGTTCCATGTTCCATACTTCTAAATATAATTTTTCCAAAAGCTAACTATTTACATTGAATATTGAACAGGAATTTGTCATTACAGGGATCAGTGTCCTTCAGGGATGTGACTATTGATTTCACCAGAGAGGAATGGCAGCATCTAGACCCTGGTCAGAGAAACCTTTACCGGGATGTGATGCAAGAGACCTACAGCCACTTACTTTCAGTAGGTAAGCACAGTCACCTTGGAACCTGTAAGGAGGCCTCTGTCAGTTCTCAATTGGATAAATACTGTGAGACATCTTAAATATGTGATGGTTTGAACCTGATTTGTTCAAGATTTTCTACCTCCTTTGGGCACTCTTAATATTACTCAGTTTACGTACATGGTTACTTTTCGTAAGAACAAACCCTCATTGAACAGTAAGTCTTGGTTGGACTCTGAAAAAGAATTAGCTGGGCCCAGTTCTTTATCATTTCCTTTGAACAGGGTATCAAGTTCCTGAGCCAGAAGTTTTCATGCTGGAGCAAGGAGAGGAGCCATGGGCATCACAGGGTGATAGCTCACATCAGAGCTGTCCAGGTCAGTGTGACCCAGGTAAAGGGGAGAGAAGGGATTCTCAGCAAAGGAATAGATCAAATATCAGCTGTTTTAAGATAGACTGTTGAAATGCTACTAAGGTGACTCTTCTGTGTTTTTTATATTTCGTGAGGACCCTTGACACTGACCCTTCAGAAAACAAAATACCTTCTAACTGAATGACCTTTGTAATTTCTGTCTTCTTCCCTGGCTTTCTGGATCAAGTGCTAATCTGCCTCATTAAAGATCATTCTTTCTTGATTATGGTCTTTTTTTTTTTTTTGTACTTTTTCCATAGTTCTACTATCTTTATTTATACATTCAGGCATTTGTGGATCTGTTTTCTTTTTATGTTTTTTTGGGGGGGGTGATTTTTTTTTTGAGACAGGGTCTCATTATGTACTTCAGGCTGTCCCTGAACTCATTATGTAGCCCAGGCTGGCCATGAACTCCCAGCAATCCTCCTGCCTCAGCCCTGAGTGCTGGGATTACAGGTGTGTGCCACCATGTCTGGCTCTGTGGATCTGTTTTCTTTCCAAATTACTATGTGATACATGCTTACATTTGGGATAGTCTCCTTTTTATTTCATTTCACTGTGAGATGCTTCAGAACTTTATCTCCAACCCGCTCTTTCTGTTTTCTCCATGGATACTACCATGAAATTTCTCACTTCTTTTCAATTTCCTATGTGTCTCATCCAACTGATGACTTGGGGGTCACTGTCACTTAACCTTTGAGAATACCTATCTGTTGTGTTTGCCATTATTTTTTACCTTTCCTGAAATTATCTTCTAATGCTGCTTGAGGGACTCTACATTGACTAGGGTCCCTCTGCCTGGTTGCTTGGGCTTTTTTGCTAGTGCTTTATTTCTGTACTTGACCTGATGAGGTTTGAATTTAATCATAGCCCTCATTTTCAGACTCATCATCATGAGTTTGGCTGAGGATTCTTCTGTTTTTTATTTATTCCCTCTTCTCTCTTTTCCCTGTATCTCTCTCCTTTCCTACTCTAGGTAACTCTTCTATGTGATGAAAACATTTTAAAATTCATGTATGTTATAAAATTTAAATTAATTTAGGGATATGTGTCATTAGTTTGTATAAAAGTTACTTTCATTTATATCATATTTGTCTTTTTCCACATCTGTCTATAGTGCAATCTGTTCACTTAATTTATTTTCTCTAACAATTGAATTATATACAAGAATGTTTCATATCAACACCATCATCACCCCACCAACCTCCTAATCAGATTACTCACATTCACCTTTTTCTGTATCCAGTCTGGACGAGCCTTTTATGTCCTCTGCTAGGTGTTCTTTGAACTAAAATCACCTGTTTTTCATCTGAGATGGGGAGTCTGGATTCCAAACCTTACAATAGGGGATTTTCTTTTCAGTTATTTTTGTTAGTACATATTTGTAATGCATAATGTTTACATTCCTTGTTGGGACTTGGAATATGTATATAATACAGTTAATTCCTTTTTTCATTCCCTTTTTCTTCCTTCCTTCCTCTCTTGACCTACCTCTTGATCCCCCCCCCTTTTTTATGTGTTTGCAGTACATAATGCTTACATTCCTTGTGTGGAGTTGGTACATGTACATAACATATCTTAATTACTTTTTTTTATCCCCTGTTCCTCCTTTCCCTCCCTTCTCTCTCTAACTCTTGATCCCCATCCCTGTGAGAAACAACTGTCTCACAATGGGGTTTTTTAAAAAGTTTCTTTCTACATTGAGCAAGAAGGTGATTTTTTTAAATTGATGTTTTCTTGTACTTCATTCTAGAAAAATTGCAGCAGATTTGTGATCAGATAGAGAGCTATCAGCAAACAGGAAATAAATCATTCAGTGATGTTGCTTTCATCAAGAAAATGATGACTATAAAGAATCATCATGAATATAAGGATATTAGACAAATAATCCATGTTAGCCCAAACATTATTTCTTCTCCCAAAAGACCTCATCTGTGTGACTCTTTTGTGAATAGTCTGAAGCATAATTTAGGTTTACACAGTCATAATACAAATAATGCATCAAAGTACTTTAAAAAGATTATTGAATATGGTAAAATTTCTTCCAATACTGACCAGGAGTATACTCTAAGAGAAGAGAAATTATGGGGCCATAATCAATATGGGAAAATTATCAATTACAAACAAGCACCCTCTCAATATCAGAAAATTCATACTGGGGACAAATCCTACAACTGCGCTGAATTTGAAAAGATTGTCACTCAGAAGTCACATCTCAAGGTACAGCTGCAAGTTCATACAGGAGAAAAACTCTATGTATGTATTGAATGTGGGAAGGCTTTTGTACAGAAGCCAGAATTCATTGCTCATCAAAAAACCCACACCAGAGAGAAGCCCTATAAATGCAATGAATGTGGAAAGTCCTTCTTCCAGGTATCTTCTCTCTTCAGACATCAGCGAATCCACACTGGAGAAAAACTCTATGAATGCAGTGAATGTGGAAAAGGCTTTTCTTATAACTCAGATCTCATTATCCACCAGAAAATTCATACTGGAGAGAGGCACCATGAATGCAGTGACTGTGGCAAAGCATTCACACAAAAGTCCACACTCAAGATGCATCAGAAAATTCATACAGGTGAGAGATCTTATATATGCATTGACTGTGGACAGGCCTTTATCCAGAAGACACACTTGGTTGCACACCGAAGAATTCATACTGGAGAAAAACCATATGAATGTAGTATCTGTGGAAAATCCTTCATTTCAAAGTCACAACTCCAGGTACATCAACGAATTCACAGTAGAATCAAGCCCTATGTATGTACCGAATATGGGAAGGTCTTCAACAATAGTTGCAACCTCATTACACATAAGAAAGTTCAAGTTAGAGAAAAATCTTCCATATGTACTGAATGTGGGAAAGCCTTTACCTATAGGTCAGAGTTAATAATACATCAGAGAATTCACACTGGAGAGAAACCTTATGTATGTAGTGACTGTGGAAAAGCCTTCACTCAGAAGTCAGCACTTACAGTGCATCAGCGAATCCATACAGGAGAAAAATCATATGTGTGCATGAAGTGTGGCCTGGCCTTCATCCAAAAGGCACACTTGATTGCACATCAAATAATTCATACTGGGGAGAAACCCTATAAATGTGGTCACTGTGGGAAATTCTTTACCTCCAAGTCACAGCTCCATGTGCATAAACGAATTCACACAGGAGAAAAGCCCTATATATGCAATAAATGTGGGAAGGCTTTCACCAACAGGTCAAATCTCATTACACACCAGAAAACTCACACAGGAGAAAAAGCTTATATATGTTCTAAATGTGGAAAGGCCTTCACTCAGAGGTCAGACTTGATTACACATCAGAGAATTCATACCGGAGAAAAGCCTTATGAGTGCAGTACCTGTGGAAAAGCCTTCACCCAGAAGTCACACCTCAATATACACCAGAAGATTCATACTGGAGAGAGACAGTATGAATGCCATGAATGTGGGAAAGCCTTCAACCAGAAATCAATACTCATTGTGCATCAAAAAATTCATACAGGAGAGAAACCCTATGTGTGCACTGAATGTGGAAGAGCCTTCATCCGAAAGTCAAATTTTATCACTCATCAAAGAATTCATACCGGAGAGAAACCATATAAATGCAGTGATTGTGGGAAATCCTTTACCTCCAAGTCTCAGCTCCTGGTGCATCAGCCAATCCACACAGGTGAGAAACCCTATGTGTGTGCTGAGTGTGGAAAAGCCTTTAGTGGCAGGTCAAATCTTAGTAAACACCAAAAAACTCATACCGGAGAGAAGCCTTACATCTGTTCTGAATGTGGGAAGACATTCAGGCAGAAATCAGAGTTGATAACACATCATAGGATTCATACTGGAGAGAAACCTTATGAATGTAGTGACTGTGGGAAGTCTTTCACTAAGAAATCACAGCTCCAAGTGCATCAACGAATTCACACAGGTGAGAAGCCTTACGTGTGTGCTGAGTGTGGGAAGGCCTTCACTGATAGGTCAAATTTGAATAAACACCAAACAACACACACTGGAGACAAACCCTATAAGTGTGTAGTCTGTGGGAAAGGCTTTGTTCAGAAATCAGTGCTCAATGTGCATCAAAGTATTCACACTTAAACAGGATGAGAAAAAGCTTACTGAGGACATGTCTTACTGTACATTACTGCATCCATGCAGCAGAATAGTATGCATAAGGGGAAATGCTCACATGAGAATGTCATACATTACTGTTTAGAAGACGACCTCTAAGAAGGAATTGAATGTGGAGGGAGGCCCTTCTTACACTGTCATCAGCATCATTAAATCTGGGGCATCCATACTGAGAAGGAACTGAGTTTGATATTTTAGAACAAGACTTCTTATGATTATGAAAAGTATGATGGAACACTATATCCTAATTTTTAATAGGAAGGGTTATGTTAAGCCATGTTAATGATAGTCTTGTTGGTAGAATAGGTACAGTGCCAACAAATTGAATGAAAAAACAATATATAGGAAATGATAAGTCCTCAGTTCTGGAAGTTGTTTGTTGCAAAACATTGTCTAACAGAGTTGTGGGTGTTTTTCTTTGGTGAATCTAACACACTTGTGTATATCCATTCCCCCACTGAGTACTTCTGTCAAAAAATACTACAATAAAAATATATTCCTCTGACACAGAGTGTATATATACACTCTGATGCAAATCTCAAGAGCGTATGTGAACTCTTCATTGTCATTTGGTACAGAATTGTAATGCCCCTCATTAGCCACTAGTAGTGTCTTTGAGCCTCACAAGCCATCAGCACATCATCTTCTGACCCCCCAGCATCATGTCTTTTGAACTTCATTACCTTTAGGAAAGCTTCTTGAGTAGGATTTTTCAGGTCATCTAGGTCAGCTGAAGTCTCCCTCTGTCACAGTTCTTCACGCTTATTTGTCTTCCTTAATGGCATGGCTTTCATAAAAACAAATCAGTGACCCATGAAAACAAGCCCCAACATACATTCACTGCTATGTCATGTCATGAACTCCACAAGGACTGTCTCCCCTGTGTGCCTCAAACATACTAATTCAGTTCCTTCCTCTGGGCCTATGCATGCACAGTGTCTGCAAAGGCCACAGCTTCATATCAGTGTAGCTTGCTCCTTAATATCTCTCCTCCAATGACAGCTTATCACAGCCCTTCCCTGCCTGGTTTAAAATTTCAGCCTCTCTTCCTTTTATCCTCCATAGCACCTACCACTATTATGCCCTGTATATTTTGCTTATTTTTCTATAGCCTCTACATTAGATTGGTTTTTTGTTTGGGTTTGATTTTTTGAAACAGGGTCTCCCTATGTAGGTCAGGCTGGCCTTGAATTCATGGAGATCCTCCAGCCTCAGCCTCCCAGGTGCTGGGATTACAGGCATGTGCCACCACGCCTGGCTACATTAGATTGTTTTTCCCATTTTCTTCACTGTGAGCTTAGACCTATGCCTGCCATACAGCAGGCATTCCATAAATGCACATTGTAGAGAGTTAATCTTATACAAATACTGCCTGATCCTTTTTATATTGTAGTATGGGAGACTCTAATAGGAAGAACCAACTCACATAAAACACAGCAGGCATTTTCACCTACAGTCTTTACTTGAGTTCTGTCCCTTCCCAGCCCTAAAGCTAAAAAGTCATTGTAAACATTCCTGATTCAGGAAAACGTGCATAGGACAGCTCACATAGCTGCTTGCTTCCAGGGTTTCATGCCACAATTCCAAAATCCCAAAGTTTCAGCTCCAAAATGACTTTTTAAAAAGCCCACTGTACCAACTCTGCACAACTCTGCTCCACTCAAACTGCATGTTAACAGGACTCCGCTACCAAAGAACCCAACCTACAGACCTGCTTATCCTGTCTTGATGGGTGTGCCTGAAGCCAATAGTATGAAGCCTGAAGAGCAGACATCATCTTTGAAAGTGGGGTGAGATACATAGTAATGGCTCAAAGATATTGGTGCATGTTTTCATTTTTTTTTCATTTTAAATAAGAAGTTTAAACAACAAGACACTTGACTTAAAGGGAAAACTATCTAGGATTCTTTTTCTTTTAAAGAGTAATTTAATCCTACATAAAGCAGATTGCCCTACCTATAACAGCTACATACAAAAAAGTTATAAAATTGTCCTTGGCTTTACAACGATAAATGAAAAACATTAAAATTCTCCAATCAAACAAGGTATGCAAGGATTTTTATGTTGTTGTCTTTTCTGTTAAAACAGCAAAATAACTTACTAGAATATAAAGATAAGAGCTGGTGAGCATGCCACTAATGGAGAGAGGGAATTATTTTCACAGAACCAGTATCTCCCCATCCCGTCTCCATCTGATGTCAATCAAAACATATTGTTGGCCATTTAGTAAAAAAAAAAGAAAAAAAAGGAATATGCTTGTGCACATACACCAGATACTTTATGTACAATAAAGGAATGAGGAAGGGGTAAACGAAAGAATAGAGAAAACTATACTATAGTAGTCAGGATGTCGTGGAACCAAATTGCAGTTTTCTAATTGAGAATGTATTCTTGGTCTGTAAGAACAGAGTTCTGAAGTAGAGTTGTTGCAGGTTCCCTTTTTAGTACACACCTCCTGTCTGCTGCTGGAACACATCAATTGTATCTTCGTCCTCCATTTCCAACTGTGCAGGTGTGTCTGTTTCATTGACTGGCTGTCCATCAAATCAGAATCTCATCTGCCTCATTGACAAACCCTGTTGTTCACAATAGGCTTTCATTAGTTTACTCAGTGGTGTATGCCTCTTAATCTTAAACTGCACCATAGAACCATCCAGCCCCGCCACCTTCAAATTAATATGATCGATGTTCTCAGTCTTGACTCCTTCCTGGGCTTTTCGTCAGCCATAGCAAGCGCCCGAGTCTTCTCAGCTGCCACTTCACAAAAGAGGTACCAGGTCCACACCGAATGAGCACACAAGCAGCTCCAGGAGTGGCAGAAGGAGGCGGCAGCGGTGGCCGAGGGAGAGGGCACGCGCATGTCGTGCCTGCATGTTCTCATTGAATGCTCAGCTAGGTGGCCCCACTGGAGCAAGAAGAATGACTTGCCTGGGGCCAGTGCATTGGTCATGCTGGGAGTGGAAAATAGTTGGGCTGTGCAGAGATGCCTTTGTGAAGGACAAAATGAGGAGGTGAGGATGTGGGTCAAGGGACAGGCTGGTTAAGGGAGCGGGGCTGGGTATTCACCTTTAACTCCCTACCCTCTAATTGAGGAGCATTTGGTGACATATCCCATTATACTCACATCAATATGTGCTGATCCACATTTAGTTCTCCTTCACTCACTGCTTCACAGCATCTAATAATCCACCATATTTCCTTCCCCATCATAGAGCAATGTTGCTCTACCATTACCTCCTTTTACCTCAACCAGCCCTGCATCTGAGGGTTCATTATTCCCCCAATTTAAGATGTTTTGTGACCCAGCATCATCCCCCAACTTAGGATGGTGTTTGCTGACCCCATAAGACAGGGGAAAATTTTTTTTTAGACAGTCTGGTTATGTACTTCAGGCTGGCCTTGAATTCACTATGTATCCCAGGCTAGCCTGGAACTACCAGTGATCCTCCTGCCTCAGCCTCCTAAATGCTAGAATTACAGGTGTGCCACTATGCCCAGCGAGCCTTCTCTCTTAACTCACCCCAGAATTCTGCCTAAATACCCTCTTTCTCCATTTCATTTTACTCCAGTAATAGAGATGTTCTGGAAGATGAAAGAATGAGCATCAGGGTTCAATTCCTCCAATTATATATGTCACCCCTCATTAATTGCAAGAAATAGTCTTTGTAGATCTTATTCTCTTTTTATTCCTCTAACTCAGTGTATCTGTGACTTCATTCCATCTGTGACAATGTCTGGTAACCTCCATATTCCAGTGTCTGATGACCACTTACTACAGTGACCAAATAAGGAACATAACCATATCCTAATACAATTATTATCTCTTGATATGTGTGTGTGTGTATGTTTACTGGGGATTGAACCCAGGACTTTTGCACTGAGCTATGTCCCCAGCTCTTTTTTTATTTTTTATTTTGAGACAGTCTTGCTAAGTTGCCCAGGTTGGGTTTGAACTTGTGATCCTCCTGCCTCAGCCTCTTAGTGCTGTAATTACACAACCTCGCCTGGCTCTTGATAATTTTATTATACTTCTAGCAGGATGTCTTGTGAGCCCCCTCCATTTATTTTTCCACCACAATGATAATTATCTCCTATTACTCACCTAACTATAACTTCCCAACACAGCATATGGTGATTCCTTACTTTTTGTTGTTGTTATTAGGGATTTTCCCAGGATCTTCCCACTAAGCTACCCCCCTCCCATTTTGAGACAGGGCATTGCTAAATTTCCTAGGCTGGGCTCAAATCTGCAATCCTTTGGCCTCAACCTCCCAGAGTTCTGGGGTTACCTTGCCTACTCTCTAAAAGAAAAGCTGATTCAACCCTGCCACCCAGACCTAGCCTTTGCCAAGGAGACAAGCAGGTCCTTGAGAAGTAGATTTGTTCCCATGAAGAGAAAGGTACCTCCAAAAATATGTGCCCAATCCAGGGACATACGTGGATTCCTCCATAATCAGGGCTAGATTCCCATGGGGAAAGAGGATGAAAGGGTACTGAAGAGTTTCCTGGGTGGGCATGAGTGAGGCTGTCACCATTCCTCACAAAGCACTTCAAAGACACAGAGCCCCCAGGGGTTTGACATCAGGGCAGGGCTTCCTGAGCCCTGCTCTAAGAGAGGTACTAAATTCAGGGTCAGTAAATTTTCAGTCGACACTGTCACTTGGAGAAAGGAATCTTCATGCCCTCTGCTGTCCTACTCTGATTTCATCTGCCTCACCAAATCGTTTTTATCCTCTCTGCAATCCAGTGAACAGAGTCCAGCTTGCCTAACACACCCCATGTACCTCTGCTGGCATCACAGAGCAAGCCTGGAGGTTGGATCCCATCCTGTACCATATCCTCCACCCCTCCCACCCTTGCCTGGTGTCAGGGGTCAGCAGGCCCTGCCACTACACATGCACTTGCCTCCGGCCACCAGCTCACTTCACAGAGGCTACAGCAGTTGTCAATCTAGGGATTGACCCTGACGTATAACACTAACATACCTAACAAAAGAAACCAATGGGGAACTCAATTTAGGCTTAAAGAACAGGTACAAAATACGGGTTTCCTTTTTGGAGTCTCCAGAGCTCCTAGAAGGATGCCTTGTGCTAACTCTCAGGTCTGGAATAATCATATACTGTTTCTGAAAAACAATGTCATACCATCTCATCTGGGACTTCACTTTCATGTGAGGACTGCTATACTTAGTTTTTGTTGTAGTTGTTGTTTTTCTTTCCTTGTTTTCTTTATTGGGAATTAAAACCAGGGCCTTGCCACTGAGCTATATTTCCAGCCCTTTTAAGTATGTATTCATTTATTTTCGGTTTGAGACAAGTTCTAGAAAACTTGCTTAATTTCCCAGGCTGGGCTCGCACCCGAAAATTTCCTGCCTCAGCCTCCCAGAGTGCAGGGGTTACAGGCCTGTACTGCCTCAGCCAGCTAATACTTTCGATTTTTATGGCAGTAATTTCAATAACTCCAAAGGCACTTTTGAGATCAAGGGCTGACTGGGTTTTGAGTCCAGGACAAGGGCCTACTAGGATCTGTGAATTTTCAGGTGACATATTCATCAAGTAGCTTCTTGTGATTCACAAGCCCCATCCCTGTCTCACCTGACTTCATCTGGCTGTGATCTGAATCCCTTCTGACCTGACTCTTCCACTCTAGAATCCACCTAGGCCTCTTGCCATGAAGCAAAGCCACCACTCGGTGGCAGAAGCGACCTGGACATCTCATGGATCAGATCCTAAGGCGAACGCTGAGGCCTAACGGGGGACTTTTGTCAGTTTCACCCTTTAGTCCTCTTCCTCCGTCCATAGCCCGTACTCCAGGATCGAATTTTTCCCAGCCCAGTAACTGCGCGTGTGTATACCTCGAGCCTGGAGCACGTCATAGTGACCAGTGGTGTTGCCTTGGGGATGCATCCTTGAGGCTTTGTGGAGCGGACGCCCGCTCATACTGTGTGCCTGCTTGGCCTGGGCTCTTGTTGTCCGTGTGGCTAATTCGGGAAACCATCAGCAAGTAGAAGATTAGCTTGGCAGAAGAATAGGCATCAGCATGGCACGCACGCCAGGATCCCTGCTTCAGGTCGGCTTCGTGGGTGTGTGACTCTCCCCTCAGGGAATCTACTCTGGGAACTAGAGAGAGATTGAGGCTGCCTGTGTGCATTTGGGTGTCTTTACTTTTCATGAGGTTTTTTTTTTTTTTGTACCGGGGATCCAACTCCGGTCCCTGCGCTTGCGAGGCAGGCGGCAGAACCACTGAGCTAAATCCCCGGCTTTTATAAATTTTTTTACAAGAAGCAAGCACAAATATCTTGAATGCTGCTGCTGAGTGCCATCCACCGGAAAGGCAGGCTACCAAAAACTTGACGGTGTGTCTTCAACCACCTTACTGGTACTGTGCAACTTCTGGTTCATCCCCCAAAGTCAAAAGGACCATCGGAGGTAAAACTTTGGAATCCATTCGAGACACCCATGCTGCCACATCAGTGTAAGTAAAGATGTTTAGGAGAGACCTTACAGAACTCCCCAAGAAAGGGGCAAGAATGATGGAGTCATGGATTTGAAGTGAGGGACAGCATTTTTAGGGGTATTTATGGCAAAGTGCCTTCTGCCATCAATGTTTTGAATGTAAACATTCGCTCTTGGGTCCATGCCATCTCCTACCTCAACTGTGATTGTTCCCAGGTCATCATTTCCTTGAAGGTACATCTCAGGACAGAAGGGTAGAGGTGAGTCTTCTGGTGCTTGCTGATCATCACCCTCACTGGTCTCTCCACCCAGCTTTCTCAGGTTGTCTAACCAGTCCTAAAAGTGAACATGCACCTGTCCCAAGCCTGGAGCTCACATCACAGTGACTTGCCATGGCTGACTAGGTTTTGGGAGCACAAAAGCTCCCTGGCTGTGCAAAGGAGCTGGGCTCTGACCTCTCTAGAGGGCCAGTTCAGGATTTGAGAATTTAAGGGAGGCTGGGTTAATCATGGTGCTGTCAATGTGACAAAATCCCAGAGATAGTCTACTGGTAAGAAGGAAAGGTTGATTTTGACTCCCACATTGAGGTGTTTCCGTCCAGTTGGTTGGCTCTATTGCATTTGTGAGGTATAGTATACTGTGTGGCAATGTGCAGCAGAGGCAACAGCCAACCTCATGGAGTTTGTAGAGAAAAGGAGAGAGGTGCAGCGGGTGTCCAGAAAGCTTTGTGAATCTGTCTCCCTCCCTTTCAGTAGCCCTGGGGTGGGCTGTGGTAATCCAAGTTGGTGGTCTGTTGAACCTAGAAGTGTAACCCTGGTTATGTTTAGGAAGCTGCATCAGCAGGGCATATATCCTAGGACCCCTGTGTGAAGTTAGCTTGGTGGGTGGAAGCAAATCGAACCCAGGAACCAGAACATTGTGTTGCCTGTGTAATTGTCTTTGTTTTGCTGTTACTTATGTACCAGAGTACAGCCCTTATCTGGGGAGCTACCTGTATGGGTGTAAGCATGAGACTGGGGAATAAACTGATGCTTCTGTTTAGTCTGGATTCCTCCTGGAGGCCCTCTATCTCCTTTTGTTTAGCCTATGTGACTGGGTGTGATTTTCTTTTGGGGGTTCCTGGAAGCTTGGCCATGCCTGTTACAATAAAAATAATTTTAAAATAAATGAGTTTTAAAATACATTAACTCTATTATTTACTTTATATGTACTCCAAGACAAACCCTCTTTCACTCAGTGCAGCTCCAACAACCAGTGAAACTTGCCTGTGCAGACTTATGGGTGATGAGCTGGCTGGCTGCTTGGGATTCTAGGGAACAACTTTTTAAACTTTTTAAAGGAAGACAGCACCATGCTCAACAACAAAAACTTACCTATGGTCTCAGTTTAGATCTGTGCAGAAAAGGTTAAAAAAGAAGTCAAGGAAGGTATCTGTATCATCATTTTCTTCTTTTAAGGTAACAAAACCTAACCATAGCTCAGGGATGAAGAGAAGAGTAACTTGGGGACAGTATCATGAATTTAAATGGTGGCTTCTATGGCAGTTTTACCTTAAAGTTCAGGATCCAGCTTGCAGATGGGAATTCTCCGGCATGACCTCTACCCTTTACTAGGTCCTTCATCATTTTTTAAATATGTTGAAAGAGGGCCCGGGATTTAGCTCAGTGGTTTCACTGCCTGCTACAAAAGCGCAAGGACCCAAGTTTGATTCCCAGTAGAAAAAAAAAATATGTTGAAAGGCCACTTTTGTCTCCTCTGCAACATTTGAAGAACTTGACTTGGCTTCCAGGGTGGCTCTTCTCATGGTCCCAGATATGATTTTCAGTTATCTTAGACTTTTTGGAATCCCTGGGACTCATGGAAGGATGCTTCAGTGTCACTATTAGTCTTGAAATGGCCAAATAGTACCTCTTAAATACACTCCGAATGTGGGACTCCTTTGTGCCTGTTAGTTGTCTGTCTCCTATGCAATGTATGTATATACATTGTATTCCATTTTTTCTGTCTTATCAAGCTTTTACGTTCACCATTGTGGAACAAGTAATAAATCTCTTTTCTTAAGGTCACCAGAATATTGACATTGCTAAATCCAACAACTATTTTTCAAGCCTCACATTATTTAGCCTGCCAAAGGCATCTGTTAACACTGGTCATCCTACTCACTTTCATTTGGCTGTGATTCCCCACTCTTGGGTTTCCTCCTATCTTTCTTTTTTCTTAGCTCCCTTGGTGGTTTGTCCTTTTTTTGAACTCTAATGTTGGGATACAGCATGGCTCAGTCCTTATGGATCTTTATACTCAAGTCTGCAATGATCTTATCCTGCCTCAGAATTTTAAATATAGGCTAATAGCTACCAAATTAACATGATCTCTAGAATAATGTACACTATTATATCCAAGTGCCTAGTCAGTATTTCCATTCTGTGTCTAAAAGATATCTTAGATTTAACATGTCTAAAACTGAACTCCCCATTTTCCTCTACAAGTTTTTTTTTGGTACTGGGGATCGAACTTGGGTCCTTATGGTTGTGGGGCAGGTGGTAGAACCACTGAGCTAAATCCCCAGCTTCCTCTACAAATTTAATGGAGCTGCAGACATTTTATTTGATAGAGCCTATCACCTTTCCAATTGCTCAGTACAAAAACCTTTGAGTTAAATTCACTAAGGAATGGGCTGGGGATTTAGCTCAGTGGCACAGCGCCTGCTTTGCAAGTGGAAGGTCCTGAGTTCGATCCCCAGTACCACCAAAAAAAAAATCACTAAGGACTTATTTCTCATACCTAACATTTGTAGCAGGGAATTAGAGGATGGGCCTGCATGTCTTGGAATAACTAAAAGCAGGATAATGCTTGGCATTTCTGCCTTCATTTTATTTCTCCCTTAGTACCTCAAAACGTTGTGATAGATCCCCGCTCAGCTCTGCCATGTGGGCACGCTAATCATTCAGAAAGTGTCTGTATTACAAGGTTTAGAACCCCTAAATACATCTAGCCCAGTGATGACCCTTGTAGAGCTTTCAATGAAAACAAAAAGCCCATTGCAGTTTGTGTGCCAGTTTCACCACCACTGGCCTAGCCTATCTCATCTTCCTTTGAGACTGAGGACATCAAGGTAAGAGTAACTGACGTTGTTGTCAGGATTTGCAGGGACTTCCAATTACCAGCTTTTTTTTTTTTTTGGTACTGGGGATCGAACTCAGGACCTTGCACTTGCAAGGCAGGTGCTGGAACCACTGAGCTAAATCCCCGGCCCCTTGAAGTTTATTTTTTCCTTTGGGTACCGGGGATTGAATTCGGGACCTTGCGCTTGTGAGGCAGGCAGCAGAATCACTGAGCTAAATCCCCAGCCCCAATTATCAGCTTTTATGACAACCAGTTCCAGAACCTTGGAGTGATGCCGACAATTCTCAAGTCATTGTCTTAAACCTGCAGCCACCTCAGATCCCAGGAAAAACAGAGCTTTACAGACCATGCCATGAAGAGGTCACCTCAAGTAGGACAATTACCCCATGACAGGAACTGAGGGTGACCCCCAAAGCAGGAGCTGTCATCTTATGAGGGAACTGTATCATACTCTCAAGCAATGCTGGCTTTTAAAGCATCAGTTCTGAGCCCAGACTATGACTTGACCAGATTACCTACACTCTCAGCTATGTGTCCCACTCCTGTCTCCCAGTTGTGCCAATCCCAACCATACCTTTCTTCTTTTTGAGCTGTTCTATACTTTTCACCATGACCAAGTTGATTAAAGCCTCTTCCTGCCCTTTACCACTGCTTGTCTCCTTGGTGTTATGAGACTTGTGGCCAAGACTGGTCTGTTGGGACTCCTATAGCTAGGGCCTTTGACCTAAACCTCTGGTAACACATTTAACCACCAGACAAAATTTGGCTGTCACATTTACCATATATAGAGAATATAAGTACTTCTCACCAGATGCATTGTTACTTTGGTCTAAGCCATTGTCATCTTTCACTTGGATTATTGCCACAGCCTACTCTTATTTGTATTTTTATTTGTATAACATGTCAGATCATGCCTTCTGTTTACAACTCTCCAATGGCTGCTCATTTCCCTTGGAATAAAATCCAAGATGCTTACAAGGCCTAGCAAGATATGGCTCTCTCTTATCTCTATCTCCTGTTCTATCAATCACCCCTTGCACAGAACTCTATAGTGACTTCCCTGATGGTTTCTGCTTTAACTTTTTCCTCCTGCCTCAAATGCTCTTTTACTCTCCAAGTTATTTTCCAGAGTCTGGTTTCTGAATCTTAGAGAGGCCAAGTTGTTGTTGCTTTTCCTAGACAATCATGAGTTATTCCTTTCAATCTCAGCTGTGACCCCTTAATGATCTACCTTGAATCACTCTATTTAATACAGCAACTCAAACAGTCCCCACCTCCTCTCTCTTTTAATACTGGGGATAGACACTAGGACCTCATGCATGTTAGGCAAGTACTCTTAACACTAAGCTATAGCCCAAGCTCTTTTGAAAATTTTGAGACAGTCTCACTAAGTTGCCTACATTGGCCTCAAGCTTGTAATCCTCCTGTCTCAGTCTCCAGAGTCACTAGGGTTACAGGCATGTCACCCTACCTGGTTTCCACCCATCACTTTTTTAATGACTTTTGACCCTATAACGACTAATATTTTACATTTACTTTACCCCCTCTTGCTAGAATTGTAATGGAAAATCACCAATACCAAGGATAATGACTAGATCATAGTAAGAACCCAATAAATGTGATTAATTTTAGAACAACAGGCTTGGATGAAACACATATTTGTTAGAAAACTCACTGCCTGTTTAGGAATGTGCAATGGTCCTATTTCTTGATCAAGCTGTCCCTTTAAATTAGCATAACTGGTTTTAGTTAAGGACAGATGGTTGAATGCTTATAGTCAGAGATAGCATCTATTAAAGTAATGTTTTCAACTGCTATCTCTAAATTCATAGGCCATTACTGAAAGTAGAAATACTGAACATGCACATTCTGAATCACTCTGTTTCCTCTAACATTACAGCTTGGATTGGTACCAGGTTTGCCTTATAGGATAATATGAGGCCGTCTGATGAAGTGTCCTGCCTATAGAGATAAGAAATTCAGTTTTGTAGTCTGACCTGGCTCAATACTCATTCTACATGAGCCTAAGTTAATGGCCCATTTGAGGGTTTATTTTTATCCATAGTACTTGACTTCTAGTTACAGCATTTTTTAAAAAAATCTTTAAGAGAATTTTTATTATTAAGAGAACTACAACAGCATCAACAATTAAAAAGTTGATTTTAATTTTATATACAGAAATACAGAAGGCAGGCAGACCAGAGTTGGTGTGACTATTCAACAAAATCACCAGGGTTGCAGACTCCTTCTGTATTTCTGTCCCACCATCCACAACACCCAGAAAACATTCTGACAGTCCCTATGAGACTGCAGAACTCCAGATAAGATGTCTACATTGTAGGTGGGAAAACGAAAAATGGAAAGAATTTTTAGATGGCCTACTCATACAAATTCCACTTGACTATCTTGTTAACCTGCAAGGGAGACAAATATTTTATTCTTACCCCAGGATTTGTTATTAAAGATGGGAAAATGGATATTCAGTAGGGACATAGTCTCTGACACAAACTCATCATTTTTCATTGCAAAATAGTCTGTTAATGTCAGCTTTTTTCATTTTAATTCAAAATCTCAAGTTTTAAAAAATTTCCTAGTAGATTCATTCTATTGTTTTACTTCTAAGTAATAATCTTGAATAGTGATCAGAGATGGTAGAAAATACAAGTTTCTGGACTTTGTGACAAACTACTTCACACCTCTCTTAAATTCTGTAACAGCTGTGTTTAATAATCCATTTACTAATACCACAGGTTTTTTTACACTGTGAATCTCCTCTATAGCATACTGGATGAGATCTGAATGAAAGTATGGCATCCCCCTTCAATCTGGGATAGGTTATGAAAGATTTCCTGATATTAATTACACTCATTAGTGCCTTTCTGTCAAGCACATCCTCTAAAATAACAATAATGAAAAAAATAGTACCTAATTTTTTTTTGTATTGGGATCAAACTCAGGACCTTTCACTTGCGAGGCAGGCAGCGGAACCACTGAGCTAAATCCCTGGCCCCAATACCTAATATTTTGTTATGTTCAAGGCACTGATCTAAGAGCTTTGACATATAATAACATGGAATACTTCCAAGAATCTTACCAAAAAGGTGTTATTCTTAGGTGTATATTACAAATGATTAAACCAAAGCAAGGTTATTTATCACAATAAATGTCACAAAGGAAATCAACTGGCAGAGCCAAGATGATGCTGATAAAGACATTTGCTATGGCTAAAGACTTTCCTACATTTACTTTATTAACAGAATTATTTTTCTGTTTTAATTTGCTAAAGTTTAATATGGTTACAGCAATAAAAGGTTTTTCTACATTAATACTTCCATTCCATTTAAAGTTTCTGATGCTGAACTTTGAGATAACGGGTCCAATATTCTCATCTGTAATAATTCTTTACAAATAATGGATGGCCAGAGAAAGCTTTATCACAAAAGATCAGGTTAATTCAAATAAAAACTTGTGAATCATTACTAAAGCCTAGTCCACATTCTTTATAGTCAAAAGATTCCTCAGTGATATGCATTTTCTGATGTTGAGTAAGTTGTGAACCACGAGTGAAGGATTTTCCACATTCCTTACACTGATATGGTTTCTCACCAGTGTGAATTCTCTGATGTCGAGAAAGATGTGAACTCTGAGTAAAGGCCTTTCTACATTCTTTGCATTCATAGGGCTTCTCTCCAGTATGGATTCTCTGATGTAGAGTAAGTTGAGAGCCATGACTAAAAGCCTTTCCACATTCCTTGCATTCATAGGGTTTTTCTCCAGTGTGAATCCGTTGATGTTGAGTGAGCTGTGAACCACGAATAAAGGCTTTTCCACATTCCTTACACTGATATGGTTTCTCACCCGTATGAATTCTCTGATGTTGAATAAGCAATAAGCCACGAGCAAAGGCCTTTCCACATTCATTACATATATAGGGCTTCTCACCAGTATGAAGTCTCTGATGTTGAGAAAGATGTGAACTCTGAGTAAAGGCCATTCTGCATTCTTTACATTCATAAGGTTTTTCACCAGTATGGATCCTTTGATGTTGAGTAAGCTGTGAACCACGAATAAAAGACTTTCCACATTCCTTACACTCATAGGGTTTCTCACCAGTGTGAATTCTTTCATGTTGAGTAAGTTCTGAGCCACGACTAAAAGTTTTTCCACACTCTTTACATTCATACGGTTTCTCACCAGTATGAATCCTCTGATGTCGAGTAAGGAGTGAGCCACGATTAAAGGCCTTCCCACATTCCTTACATTGATAGGGCTTTTCACCAGTATGAATTCTCTGGTGTTGAGTAAGCTGTGAGCCATGGCTAAATGTCTTTCCACATTCCTTACATTCATAAGGCTTCTCATTAGTATGAATTCTCTGGTGTTGAGTAAGTTGTGAGCCACGGATAAAGGCCTTCCCACATTCTTCACACTTATAGGGTTTTTCCCCAGTATGAATTCTTTGATGTTGCATTAGGAGTGAGCCCCGAATAAAGGCCTTTCCACATTCCTTACATTCATACGGCTTTTCCCCATTATGAATTTTCTGATGTTGAGAAAGCTGTGAACCACAAATAAAAGCCTTCCCACATTCTTTACATTCATAAGGTTTCTCACCAGTATGAATTCTTCTATGCAGAATAAGTTGTGAGAGCTGAGTAAAGACCTTCCTACATTCTTTACATTCATAGAGCTTCTCACCAGTATGAAGTCTCTGGTGCAGAGTAAGTTGTGAATTTTGAGTAAAGGCCTTTCCACATTCTTTACATTCATAAGGTTTCTCACCAGTATGGATTTTTTGATGACGAGTGAGTTGTGAGCTACGAATAAAGGCTTTTCCACATTCTTCACATTTATATGGTTTTTCACCAGTATGAATTCTATGATGTAAAATAAGTTGTGAGCTTTGAGTAAAGGCCTTCCCACATTCTTTGCATGCATAGGGTTTTTCACCAGTATGAAGTCTCTGATGAAGACTGAGCTGAGAATCACGACTAAAGGCCTTCCCACATTGCTTACATTCATAGGGTTTTTCACCTGTATGAATACTCTGATGTTGAGTTAGGTGTGAGGCTCGACGGAAGGCTTTTCCACATTCCTTACACTTATAGGGTTTCTCCAAAGAATGACATCGTGGATGTTGAGATAAATAGGTATGCTGATTGAAAATAGACATTTTGTCATATGTTATCATCCCTTGACCAAAATATTCTTTCTGATTTTCTTGCTTTTCCAACTTGCTTTTGAATTCCAAATAATCTCTGGAATTGGTCTTATCAAGCTCACAGTTTTCAAGCCTGCCATTCATTTCCCAGTGGGATAATGCTCTTTCATTAGTGTTCTTTTTTTGAGACAAGTCTTTATTGGCACATCTTGAAGGCAAGTCTGAAAAATAAGACATCATCAAAAAATTCAAGAGAAACAGAACTTCATAGAAGAAAACATAAATAATAGGAAAAAATACCCATAAGAAATAACAAGCATGGCCGGGGATTTAGCTCAGTGGTTTCGCTGCCTGCTGAGCAAGCACAAGGACCCGAGTTCGATCCCTGGTACCAAAAAAAAAAAAAAGAAATAACAAGCATATATCAGTATTTTAAAATATGGTTAACTATGTACCATAGTAATACCTATCTTTCACTGAATATATGTTTCATAAAAATAATACCTACACTTTCTATTCTATAATATTCCACTGTTTTCTATTTCTATTAAAACCCACTAAACTGATTTTTTTTGGGGGGGTACCTGGGATTGAACTCGGGTCCTTGCACTTGTGGGGCAGGCAGTGGCACCACTGAGCTAAATCCCCGACCCACCACTAAACTGATTTGATGGTGCAGTAATGTTGTTACCTTGAGTTTGAAAAAATATTAACTTAGAATAATCTCAAACAATAATATGTAAAAAGGGCAGTTGAGATGGGAGAATAATGAAAACTTACCTAAAAGGTTAAGGGATGAGATTAAGTAAGCTTTTAAAATTACTGATGCTCAAATTTTGGTGAAGATCAAAACCAAGTGAAGAATTAAAAATTATAAATATCCAGGTATACACCAGCCAAAATGAATCTAATCTAGTTAATCATATAAAAGAGCATAAAGATCTTAGTTTTAATATTGTCCACCATCTGACTTGGATTCAGTCAGTCTGTGACTTGCTATCTCTGCTTAAAATGTTTTAATAGCTTACAAAATAAAACTCAAACTCTTTTATGAGTTTGACAAAGCTCTCCATGGCCTGCCCCTATTTATCCAATTTCCCTAATAACCCTTTTCAGTGTTAATCACTATTTGCCAAACATACCACTTTCAACTGAAAAAGTTACAAGGCCCTTTCCAACTTACAGCTAGCCAGAACCTATTCCATCTTTTTAGGCATATGATTGGTGAACAAACTAGGTGGTTTTGGAAGGTTTTATATGGCTAGGCAACAAGTGAAACAGGGTACGTTGTAAATTCTCCATACTTTCGGTTGGAAATTCTGAAGGCTATGATGTAGAAACACTAGACTAGTCTAGGCTGGGTCTGAAGCCTCAATCATCACTGAATCATCTCAAACCCAGAAATGTGAGAATTAGGGTAATTCATGATTGCTTGCCATAACAATCTTAAATCTTTACTGGTAAGGTGTAATATTATTCAAAACTTCAAGTTATTTTTGTATTTTTTTACAGTGTCTAGCAGTCAACAAAAAGGTAAAGGATAACTAAAAAACATGAGGCAAAAAAGAGACAAAAGAAACAAATCTATACAGGCTCAAGCTGTGTATTCACCGGCACACTTCTGTCACTCCTAAGTACCAATGTGCTGCTGCTTTATAGTCAACCCTTCCTCCCACCCTAAAACTAGATGCTGGCTGTGGCTTTTCCATCAATTCCTTACAGATAGAAACAAGAGCACAAGTATAATAAATCTAGGATCATATATACCTCTCCAATTGCCTTGCCTCTTGCATACTGCTAGCCATGTTCATCTTTAGCTCCCCCTATTCTTTTCAAATGAGATACTGAGTTGATTTTGTTTACTCATCTCTATTTCACCCTTCATCCCTTCTCATGTCTTTGATTTACTTTTCTCTCCAAGACCAGCTCTGTGTTCATCCCAGAATATCTTTATCATATCCTAGGCACTGATATAAGGCTAAGCCATAAGGAAAAGTCTCTGTAAATTACCTAAAATTATGAAAGCCATCTGGAGTGATAGAGATTCCAACAATTTTATTCAAAAATACAGATTAAAAAAAAATAACACAGAAAGTCCTGTTGGGATTGCAAAATGGTACAGCCATGGTGAAAGACAGTTTGGTAGTTTCTTATAAATGTATACTTAGATCCGGTGATCATACTTGTAGATATTTACACTTATATTCAAACAAACCAAATATTAGTTTCTTTTTTCCCTTTTCTGTGATACTAGGGATTAAAAATCATGTTCAGGGGCCGGGAATTTAGTTCAGTGGTTCCACTGCTTGCCTTGCAAGTGCAAGGTCCCGAGTTTGATCCCCAGTACCAAAAAAAAACAAAAACAAAAACAAAAAACAAGACTACCAAAATGAACAAATACATAAAGTTGCAGGATTGAATATCAACACATAAAAATCAGTAGTTTGTATACACTTAACAACTATCTGAAAAAGAAATCAAAAGTTCCCTAATATGTAGAATCAAAAAATGCATGAAAATAGAAGTGAAACTATAATTATTAGGAAGGGAATGGGGGTTGGGTTTAGGGAGGGAAATGGGGGAATGGATATAATAAAAATGTTATATGGATGTATGAAAATATTGCATTGACATCCCAATATTCTATAAAATAGGCAATAATAAAATATATTTTTAAAAGACATGCAGATGACGGGCCGGGGATTTAGCTCAGTGGTTCTGCCTTGCAAGCGCAAGGACCCAAGTTGAATCCCCGGTACCAAAAAAAAAAAAAAAAAAAAAAAAGACAACCAGATGAATGCTCTTACTTTTATTTATCTGTGATATGGGGTTGGGATAATGAAGGATTTTCATTGTATGTTGTTATGGCTTGTATCTAGATGGCCTCCCAAAACCTCATGCATCCATTGGAGGGGCTTTTTAGAGGTGGCTTGATCCAGGGTGTGTGAATATGGATTAAGGGTATATGATAACTAAATTAGTCCACTGGTTTAGCATAGTTCTGGGTATGGATAATGGAAAGGCCCACTCATGGGTGTAGATGACACCAACCAATAGTGCTTTACCCTAGATGGGATAAAGAGGGAAAGGCAGGCTTGCTGCTGCTGCTGTTGCTTTACTGTCTCATTGCCTGACTGCCTGCCATGGACTTTCTCCTGTGCTATGTCCCTCTGCCATGCTACCCTGCCTTACAGCCAGGTGACTGTGGACTGAAATCTCTACAAACTGTGAGCCAAAATAAACCTTTCCTCCTTTAGCTTGTGGGTATTGGCTATTTTGCCCTAGCAACAAGAAAGTAACTGAGACAGATTTATATATGTATGTATGTATGTATATATGTATGTGTATATGTATGTATTTACTCATTTATTTTGCAGTACTTTGGATTAAACCCAGGATCTTTGCACCAAGATACATTTCTAGTCTTTTTCTGGAGTCTTATGAAGTTGACCACGCTGGGCTTGAACTTGATCCTTCGGACTCAGCTTTCCAGAGTTCTGGGATTATAGGTGCTTACCACCATGGCTAGTCCTTATTTTTTGAATTTTTAAAAAGCTAGTATATGTTCACGTGCTAGTTTTATGAATTTAAAATGAAGATGAAGAAGAGAAAAAGAAAAATTTAGAAGACAATTCCATTTATAAAAGCTATCAAGAAATATAATTAGAAAGCAATTTACCAAGAAGGTGAAAGATCTGAATGCTGAAAACTAGAAAATATTGATTAAAAATAGAAAACATAAATAAATGAAGACATTTCATGTCCCCCCAGTCTCATTTGTTCAGAAGTGATGCTTTTAGAAGATGATTATATCATGGGGGTGCCGTAATCATCAGTGGATTAACCCATTGATGAACTGTATCAATTCTATGAAGAATTCATAACTGAGTGTGCTATTAGAGGGTGGGGCCTGGTGGGAAGAAGCAGGTCACTGGAGGCATGACATGGAAAGTACATCTTCCTCTCTGGCCGCTCTCTTTGTTCCTTGCCTTCTGGCATGGGTTGAACAGCTTTCCTTTGCCATGCCTTTCAAACATGCAGTTTCTGCCTTGGAGCCAATCAACCATGAGCTAAAATAAACCTCTCCTCCTTTAAGTTTTGGGTGTCAGGTATTTTGTCCCAGAGACAGGACAGTGGCTAAGACAGATTTTGGTATAAGAGAAGTGGGATCATTGCTGTGACTATTCCTGAGTATGTAGTTCAGAAGCCTTTGGAACCTGTTTGCAGGAGGAGTTTGGCAGTTTGGGAGATGCTGGCTAGAGAAGCCATCAGATGTTGTAAGTAGCATAAGCAAAGATTAATGGGAGATTCTGGTCTCAGCTCAAATGACTAGAATGTTGATAGAAATGCAGAAAGTAAAGGCTAGACTCTGGAGGTTTCAAGGGCTCCACTGGCAGATGGACAAGAAACCACATTTGTTACACTTTGATAAAAAATTTGCCTTCCTTTTGGCCATGTCATGAAACTTTGTGAGAGGCTGAGAATGGACTAATCTGGTGGAGGACATTTCAAAACAGCTCAATATTAAGGATGTGGGATGGGTACTACTGGTTGTGGTTAGCCAGATATATAGTGAAAATCAGGAGCAAAAAGCTTAGGTGAACAGCATGTAGTTTCACCAGAAAGTACCTGTAAAGTTGAGTCATAACTGCTGAAAAGATAACACTCAAACGAAGCCAAGAACCATGCATTAGGACAATAGGAAAGACAGCTTGAAAGTGTTTTGAGAATCAGCAAGATCCCACCTTTCACTGGCTCAAGAGTGGAAAACTGTACAACTTTCATTTGAGAATAGAGGTCCTTCCTCCTTTGCTCAAGAAAGGCTGCACAGGGCATTGGTTCCCTGGGATTCATTTCATACTGCTCAGGCATCCAGGTACTCAGATGATTCTGTAGTCACTATCCAAAGGGGCCCAGCTATTGCTTGAGCTGGTGGCAGACCTTGGTATCAACCACATGGTGCCAGTTTTCAGGCAAGCACAAGGCTAGTTATGGGGTCACAGAGGCTTCCACCTAGATTTTAGATGTGGAAGGCTAGGCAGTCTGCCCAAGAGGGCAGTGCATAAAGCTGTGAGAGTGATGCTGAAAGTGCAGTGGAGACCTCAGGAAGTTAGAATACCAAGAACATGGAATTTTAGTTGAGGAAAGCCAATCAGTGAGTGAAGCCACACAAAGAAAGTGGCCATAGTGGCACTGCGCCTGCTTCAAAAACAAAAGGTCCTGAGTTCGATCCCTGGTGCTGCAAAAAAAAAAAAAAAAAAAAACAAAGAAGGAAAGAAAGAAAGAAAGTGGCCAAAAGAACTGCAACCAGCAATGTCATAGGGATGGGGCCACTTAAACCTTTTGAAGTTCACATCTCACCAAATGTGTCCCAGGTGCTGGATATGCAACTACAGGATTTAATGTTTGCCCTCCTGGGTTTTGGTCTTGCTTTGGACCTATTTCTGTCTATTTCCCTACTGGTCCCTTTTGGAATGGAAATGTTTACCCTGTGCCAATATATTTGGGAAATGTTCCATTTTCCATTTTGATTTTCACAGGGGCTCATGGTTAAGAGTTTGCCTTGAATCTCAAAGGAGATTTTTGAACTTTTCAGCAATTCTGTTACTGCTAAAACTTTGGCAGTTCTTAGAGATGGACTAAACATACTTTGCATAAAGAGATAAACATGAGTCTTTGGGGGGGGGCTAGTGGCAGAATGCTATTGTTTAGATATAGAATGTCTCTCACAAATCTCATGTATTCAGGGGCTTATTGAAGTGCATTAATCAACTGATGAGTTCATAGCTGAATATGCTGTTAGAAGGTGGGGCTTAGGTCATTGGGGGCATGACCTAGAAGAGTAGATCTCTCTCCTCACTGTCATCAATTGAACAGCTTTCTTCCACCATGATGTTTCTGCCTTGGAGTATAAATCTCTCCTCCTTTAATTTGTGGGTGTCAGATTTTTTGTCCCAGCAACAAGAAAGTGGCTAAGACCAAACTAAAGTGAATCTGCAGATTCAATAAAATTGTTATTAAAATTCCAGTGCCATTTTTCATGGGTACAAAAAAATCCTAAAATTCATTTGGAACAACAAAAGAACTCCAAATAGCCAAGATAAATATTAACATGAAGAAAAAATCTGGATGTATCACACTATCTGATTTTAAACAGTACTATAACACCATAGTAAATAAATTAGTATGCTGCTGGCAAAAAATAAGACACATCAACCAAGTGAACAGAACAGAAAGTCCAGAAATGAATCCACATATGGACAGTCAATTCATTTTCAACAATAGTGTCAAGAATATACAATGGCCTTAAATGTACCAATAAAATTAACAAATGCTAAAAAAAAAAGAATATACAATGAGAAGAGGATAGTCTCTTTAATGGGTAGTGCTAAGAAAACTGGATACTCACATGTAGAGGAATGAAATTGTACCCTTATTTCATACTATATCCAAAAATCAACTCAAAATGGATTAAAAACTTAATTGTAAGACCAGAAACTGTAAAAGCACTAGAAAAATACATAGGAAAACAACTATGTGACATGGATCTTGGCAATTATTTTTTTGAAGTTGAATCCAAAAGCATAAGCAACAAAAGCAAAATAGAAAAACGGGATTACAACAACTTGAAAAGCTTCTTTCTGCACAGCAAAGGAAACAATTCACCATATGAAGACACAATTTACAAATTGGGAAAAAATTTCTGGATACCATACATCTGAGAAGGAATAATATCCAAAATATATAATGATCTCAACAACTTAACAGCAAGAAAATATAAAACCAAATTAAAAAATGGGCAAGGGACCCGAATAGACAATTCTTCATTTGATCTTAGCCAAAAGGCCAAGAAGTGATTAGACAATTCTTAAAAGAAGATACACAACTGGACAACAGATACATGAAGAAAATGCTCAACATGGTTAATAGGAAAGTGAAAACCACAATGACATATCAATTTAAATCCACTAGAATGGTGATTATCGAAAGGACAAAAGATACCAAGTATTGATAGAATATGGAGAAAGATAACTCTTGTATATGTTGGTAGGAGTGAAAATTAGTATAATCATTATGAAAAACTGTACTGAGGTTCTTAAGAAAAACTAAAACTACAATTCCTATATGACCCAGCACTTCTCTACTGTGTATTTATGCAAAGGAAATGAAATCAGTATGTCAAAGAGACATCCATATGCCTATGTTTATTGCAGCACTATTCCTAACAGTCTCAAAATAAAAGAACCTAAGTGTCCATCAACAAATGAACAGACAAAAGAAAATGTGGAATATATACTCAGCCTTATGAAAGAAGCAAATTCTGTCATTTAAAACAATGTGGATGGAACTGTAAGACACTATGCTAAGTGAAATAAATCAGGTACAAAAATATCACATGTTCTCACATATGAGGAACATAAAACGATCAAATTCAGAGAAGCAAACAAGAACAGAATGTGGTTACAGTGGCAGGGAATGGTGGAACAGAGTGATGATGGTTAAAGGGTACAAAATCTCAGAGAAGACTAAATAGTGTTTTTTTCTTCTGTTGGGGGGTTTGAAGTCTATTGCAGAGTGTGATCAATACAGTATATTGTACATTTCAAAGTTTCTAAGAGGGTAATTTCAAATGTTCTCACTGAAAAAAAGTATTTGAAGTGATGATGTTACTTAGTTTGATTTAACTATTCCAAATTATATTCACATCAATTTGTACCCCATAAATACATACAGTTATAAATTTTCAATTTACAATACAAAAAGAAAAAAAAACCCAGAATTTTAAATTTGAGTTCAATGGCTATGCTCCTAAAAGCCAACAGATCTGATAACTGATGGTCATTCGTAACTCATTGGTCATTGTATCTAATTGTTATTGTTTATATACTAATGACTGACAATACTGGCAAGATATTTTAAACTACTAAAGAATATATAACCCCAACTACACATAACTGTTGAACATATAAAACTATGGAAATCTACCCAAGTAGTTTTACAAAGCTAAACGAACTCTTGTATCAAAATTAGACAAAGAGAGCTCAGGAAAACTAAATTAATCTCACGAGCAAACATAGGTTAAAATACTGAAATAAGGGCCGGGGTTCCACAGCCTGCCTCGCAAGTGCAAGGACCCGAGTTTGATCTCCGGTACCAAAAAAAAAAAAAATACTGAAATAAAGTATTAGCAACATAGAATCTAACTGTGTATTTAAGGACTAACATGATCATATAATGCTTAAGTCATAAATGCAGGAACAACTCAAGAAGATAAATCTATTTTCCCATGTGAAGAACTTGGGGAGTAAAATATACAGAATTATTTGAAAAAAATAGAAAACATAAAAAAAGAAATACAAAACATTAAAAAATACATTTTAAGATCCTTTACTGAAAACTCTCTAAGATCAGAATGGCTCTTCTTCACCTAATTAAGGATATAGACTAAACATCTATAGAGTCCTATTCAATAGTTAAACATTAGAAGCATTGCCAATAAAGTTTGAAAAAAACAACTGTTTTCAAATTTGAAGGTCCTACTGAATGTACCTTTGTTGGGGGGGGTGTACGGGGAATCGAACTCAGGACCTTGCGCTTGCAAGGCAGGCACTGGAACCACTGAGCTAAATCCCTGGCCCAAATGTACCTTTTTTAAAAAGATAAAATAGAGAAAAGTTGTAGAGAGCAAATTTCTATATGGCTATTATCAATTTATAGTAATCAATACATTGAGATATCAGATATATACTAATAATTTATACAATGTCATCAAAAAAATATTCATAATACCAATAAAATGAATTATTAAGGAAATTGCTTAACAAGAAATATGTGAGATTTTTTAAAGAAAAATTAAACTTCAGAGAGGACATAAAAAGAAAAGCAGATTTAGCATATTCAAAAACAGAAAGATTCTGTACTGTTAGTATTTAAACAGTACATCAGATTTTTTGAAAAACAATAAATGCTAAAGAAAATATAGTAACCATCCTTTTAAAAGTACACAAAGCTTAAAAGAAAGTAAAGAAGATCCAGAGGCACCACAATGATTGACAATCAGAAACTGGAGAGGTAAACGTGCTCTGAAGTTACAGCCATATTCAAGACATTTTCTGTCTTTCATTGCCTAAAAGTCTGCATCTTAAGTGTCTGAAAAACTCAAAGAAACAAGTCCTTGGGCCCACAAAAGAGCAGGATCTAGAAATAAATCTATACAAAAGTGGAACTATCTAAGACTTACAGTTCAAAGGAAGAAAAAAAAGAATCAATATGATCGAAAGAAAAATGATAAGGAACGTTTCAGGCTGGGCCTAGACTTTGAACAAAAAAGAAAAAAAATGCAATGGATACTTCATCATTACATAAGAGGCCTTATGCAGACAAGAAATATCATGGCAGAAAACAGAATTGTTAAATTGCACAATATAAATGCTGCAAGTATGTGAAAATACAAAATAAAAAGCAGAAGGAGTAAGTTTAAAAAGGTCTGGGAGAGGGGCCAGGGATTTAGCTCAGTGGTACCGTGCCTGCCTTACAAGCACAAGGTCCTGAGTTCGATCCCCAGTACTCAAAAAAAAACCTAGGAGAGGATAAGTGTAGTTAATTTTTAGAAATGAAACAATGTTATCAATAAAAATCTTAAAAAAAGATCTTACAGGCAGCCAAAGGAAACACCAATTACTTACAAAAGGAACAATGAAACAGAAGACAGACTTGTCAAAAGGAACAGAAGCTAGAAGACAGTGGATAGTATCTTCCTGAGGCTGAGAAAAGAATAATTGTCAGTACAGAATTTTATACTAAAATCATTAGTCAAGAATGGTAGTAAAGCAGATTATTTCACAATAGGAATAAAACCTTAGAACATTTACTAACAATAAGCCTTCACTAATGTAGTCCATCATAAATAGAATGATCCCAGAAGGAAGATATAATGGAACAGGGATAGTGTGTGAATAAAAGAATAATCATGTGATTAAATCCACAAGTAAACACTGTAAAACAAAAGCAATGCCCATTTTAGAAGTTTAAAAGAGAACAGAACTAAAATACTAGACAACAATAATATATTAAATGAGAGAAATCAATAAAAGTTAAAGCACGCTAAGATTTTTTTTTCTGTTTTTTTTTGAGACAGGGTCTCCCTATATAGTCAGGCTGACCTTGAACTCACTTTGGAGCCCAGGCTGGCCTCAAACTCCTGGCAATCTCCTCCCTCAGCCTCCCAAGTGGTAGGATTACAGGCATGCAACACCATGCTTGGCTTAAGATCCATTACACTGTTCGGAGGGAGGGCAAACAATTTTTTGTCTGTTAAATTAATTATGCATATTCAAACAATAATGACAATGATTTAAGTGACGTAACAGAAATACCCACAAAATATTTTTATTCACTAGTAATGGCAGAAAGGTTATTTCTTTTCTTTTTTTTTTTTGGTATCAGGGATCGAACTCAGGACCTTGCACTTGCAATGCAGGTGGCGGAACCACTGAGCTAAATCTCCGGCCCTATTATTTCATTTTTACCTACAAATTGACAAAGATATCTTTGAATAATATCCTATACATTACAAAATATGTGGCCTTTTGTCTGGATTTTTCCATTTAACATGTTTTCAAGGTTCATTCATGTTGATGTATACATGTATAAAAGCTTTGTTTTTTTATTGGTTAATAATATTTCATTGTAAGGATATACTAAATTTTATTCATCAGCTGATAGATACCCGGGTTGTTCCACCTTTTTGGTTATTGTGAATAATGAGTTATAGAGTACTTCTGCCTTTACACATCACAAATGGTTGGCACTGTCAGACTTCTTTTTCTTAAAGTTTTATTTTTATTAGTACATGTTTGCAGTACATAATGATTACATTCGTCATGGGGAGTTGGTACATGTACTTAACACATCTTAATTCTTTTTACATCCTCTTTCACTTCTCTCTCCCTCCTCCCTCCATCTCTCGGTCATTGTCAGACTCAATTTCTGCTAGTCTATAGTATGTGAAATACTACCTCACTGTGATTTTAATTTGCATTTCTGACTGCTAACGAGGTTGATCACTTTTTCCTATGCTTACTGGCTATTTCCATTTTCTTGAACTACCTATAAATATCTTTTATGAAATTTTTCAAAATAGTTATTTATCTTTCTCTTGTAGAAGCTCTTTGTGTTCTGGATACTATCTTCATCATTCCCTATATGCATTGCAAGTACTTCTTGCAAGTTATGGCTTGTCTTACTTTATAATATTGTTTGATAAGAATTTTCATGTAGTCAAATTTATCAATCTTTTAATGGTCATTTAAAAAAGAACTAAACAGAATCCTTAGAAATAATTTGATTCTCTTATCATATGAGTGTCACTTATTTCTTGCCAATTTTGTGATTTAAGTTTTTCTTTAAAAATTGCACCAGCAGGGCCAGGGATTTACCTCAGTGGTCCCACTGCCTGCCTTGCAAGCGCAAGGACCCCAGTTCTATCCCAAGTACAAACAAAAAAAAAATTGTACCAACAGTTTATATTTATAGTAATAATTAGAATATGAATTTTTTTGGCTTTGTTTTTGCTATTATCTATCACTTATCTATGAGTTGTTTCTTCAGGGTGAGCGCACCTTTTGTTGATGTTAATTTGTGACAATTCTAAAGGCCTCTTACTTTTTTCAGAGAAGATATGCATTCTGGCCAGAAGTTAGAGGGTATCACTTTAGAGAACTGATGGCAAACCTTTTAGAGATTGAATGTCAAACTGCAACTCACTCACTCACTTATTTATCACAAAGGGCCAATTAAACCTAAATACTGAGATTTTAGTTTAGAAAAAACAACTCTACATTAACATCTTTTATCTTAAAAGAAAAACACAATAACATGTGTGCCATAGGTTTGCTACCACTGCCTTACAGAATAAAACTTCAGCTTTTAAAAAAATTGCTTAACTCTTTTTATTCTGTATATTATTCACTTTTCTCAAGACATAATGTTTCCTTTGAAAGTGGAAGTATTATATAATAAAAAACAACCAGGAAAAAGAAGTAGGGATTAGATGGGATTCCTTATGGAGACAAACTGAAAGGCTTTTCTTCTTAAGCCAGTCTTTTTCCCATATAACTTAGGCCATTAGGGGTAATATACAATCAATAACTAAGCCTTCAGGGGAAAAAGGAATGAAGGGAAAGACACGGTTACATTCTAGTGATATGAGGAGTACCAAAAGTAAAGTGATAACCTAGGTGGGCAAATCAGTGATTAAAGTTGTTTTTTTTTTTCTGGCACCAGGAATCGAACTGGGGATCTTGCACTTGCGAGGCAGGTGGCAGAATCACTGAGCTAAATCTCTGGCTAAAGTTTTGATACAGGATCTATCCTTTATTAAAATGCTACGGGAAAAACAATACACTTTCTTAGATAATTGAAGATTTTTCCGAAACCATTTTCCAATAAAAGGTGATTCCACCATATTTATTTAATGTAGAATGCAAAGTTCTTAACATGCTATATTCAACTACTAAACACATGTAAGAGAAAGTGTTTAAGTGATGGACTGTATTCACTTGAGTTGTTAGCAAAATATATTCTGTCACTATACAAAGGATATAAACTCCTTCAAATGAAAAAAACTACACATTTCCACGTTTACTTTTTTAAAATTTGTGACTGGGTTTATTTAGGGCTTTCTTTACAGATCTAAAGTATAACTACATATAGCCTGTTTTTTTCTGACAGTGCTGCAAGTGTCCCAGAATTCAAATCTAGTTCCATGGTAATTAAGGAAGCTGGTAGAAAGATAAGTATCATAGGTAGTATGAAAGCCTTTTGAAGGATGGAGAAAATAAAGGTGCCTTATCTATGCCTATTTTTCAGTAACGTCGAGTCATTCCTTTGAGAATAATAAATTTAGTTTACTTTAAAAGTAACTTTGAAGGAATAGCAGAGAAAGCAGCCATTCCAAAAGTAGATCCTGAGATACAAGGGACAGATAGCCTTACCTAGTGACACCAAGTTACTATAGTTCTCCAACATCACGTCTCTGTACAAATCCCTTTGAGTAGAGTCCAGGCATTCCCACTCTTCCTGAGAGAAGTCAATGGCAACATCCCTGAACATCACTGATCTCTGAAATAAGAAACATAATAGCAATGGGAGAAATAAAGAAAATATTTTTTCAATGGAGGGTGAAAAAAAGGGAATAACAAAGGCTACATAGGAGGCTACAGAGGCTACAAAGAGAAGGCTATAGAGCAAACAAATGGCAAGCTTCTGACATGGGGAGAGTAAAGAAGCTAGTGACTCTGAAGATTTAACACATTCCTAATCTTGTTGCTACAGACATTTTCTGTATATCGAACATCTCAGTATACAGATAAGCCTGGGAATTAACAAAGTAAATGTAATGTCCCAATTAAATAAACAGCATATATAAGAATTTTGTAAAATATATGTTATATATTATACGTTCTCAATAAATGTTTCTCTTTCTTCTTTTCTATTTAAGAAATAGAGAAAATGACTGAGGAATTTTTCTGTAAAATCTTGTAAGATCTGTACAGTGTTAAAGAATTTATTAAAGCCTCTATTCATCATTATTTCAGAGTATTACATTATAAACATTTTTCTGTGTCATCAGTAATTTAATTAATCTTTCTTACAGGCTATAGAATAGCTCCATATAGTGAATATATCTGACTTAATAAGTAGTCATATTTGAAAATTTTAGATTATAGGAACTCATAAGTAATTTGTTTCTAACATTTCTTAGATTTATAATTCTCAATTAGTTATTCAGGTAAATAATGATCTTTTTTGTGACTATTTGGCACTCCTTGATGTACCTTTTTTTCATTCTAAGCAACAGAAAAGTAGAAAATAACTCAAATGTACACATTCAGGATCAGAACATGCTGAATTTCACAATTATCCAACTACTGGTATTAATCAATTATATATTTCTAGAGAAGATACTGAAGTATCTTCTTTCTGTATTCAGTCCACACTCATGTTTATAACATTAAAAGCTTATAAAACATAACCTCTTGCAAGATAGTGAGACAAAACCCAGTAAAGACCAATTCCTATCTTGTCCAACTGTGAAACCTAGGTTTAAAGAGAAATTCAAAGATTTCTCATATGTGGTCATTTATTATCCTTCTCTGTCTTATAAAATCAGAGAAATTTACTTTTGTTACATTAGTGCTCCTAGTCAAAGATGTTGAATAAGTACATAAATATAAGTTAGATTAGACAGACACAATTATGAAAGGCACTATTACTTACAAGAATGGAACAAAATGGAGAACATAAAGTTAGAAAGTTTTAGGAATAAAGAATTTGAACACATACTTGCCTTGTAAAAAAGCAACTAAAGAGAGTAAAAAGAAACTGTTCACCTGAAACATGGTTTTTAGAGCTGCAAAAAATGATCAACCTTCTTTCGGGCTCCTATCTTAGAGAGGCAAAGAGCCTGGAAAAGGCAGAACTGGGGAGGAGAAAAAAGAACCATGAGACCAGGTTTTTTGCAAGGCCCGAAATGATTAAGTTGTAATTATCTTTGTTGGCTTTTTCTTCCTGTATCTTGACACCACCCAAAACATACACATAAAAAGGGATAGGTACAAGTGTTGGCTCTTACTCTAACTCAATGCTTTCTACATACAAAATGAAAATATAACTTCTTCACATTTTTCTCAAATGAAACTTATAGACAACATGACAACTTTACATATTATATCAAAAACAGACAATAGTCAGGTGTTATATTTCAATATATTATTGAGCATACACAGCTACATTAGAAGGTATAAATAATTATATGTTTATATGTACTATTTACAGTGAACAAACTTCAATTTATGACAATATTCAACTAAATATTTCTGACCTCTTACATTTATATTGGGCATTTTGAAACAAAGACTAAATATGTGTATGTGTAAAATAAATAGAAATGCCTTATGTACAAATAGTCTTCTGTAAGTATTTGTTATCAGAAAGTCAAATACTGCAAGAAGTGTCATCAGGGCTGTGACTTTTTGAAATGGCTAAAAAAAACCAGTAAATTTTTGAACCAGATAAAGTACACTCTTTTCTCGATCATACCACAGCTCCATTCATTTATGATTCATTTAATAATTAAAACCATTCATTGGGCAGGGATTTAGCTCAGTGGTTCCTCTGCCTGCCTTGCAAGCACAAGGTCCCGAGTTCGATCCCCGGTACCAAAAAGCAAACAAATTTTTTAAAAACCCATCCATTATAGGAAAATAGATACATTCAGCAGGTAGAAAAAATTCACAGAAAAATGATTTATGTGAGGTTCCAGACCTTGAAAATTATAGACATATTTTTCCAGTTATGGTTCTCATTATTTTAACACTGAAAAGCACACATCTTTGAAAAATCTCTTAGAATCACTGCCTCTGCGAAGATTTACTGATATAAGTGCTCAATATATATTTAATTGCAAATTCTACTTCTTCTACATGGAGAATTCCGCCATAGAAATCATGACATAGAATGTCATGTGCTCATTCTAACAGCCAAAAAATTTTCATGTATGATTATAAAAATCACAATTTCTTTTATTTTCAACAGAAAGATGAGAGCACGAAGAAATTTAAATGAATTAAAGTCTAAGAAGTATCCAAGCTCTTTTAAGGGGTTAAATAAGCTAGAGATGCTCCCATCCCTGACAGGGCTTAAATTAAATTGTAATAGTCCAAACATTCCAATAAAAAGAGAATGTTAAAACAAGATTTGTAAAAAAGCAAGTTCTAACTATATGCTCTTTATAGGAAACACACTTTAAATATAAAGATATAGCTATAAAGATACAGGGTTGAAAGTAAAATGCTGAGACAACATACCATACAAATACTAAGCATAAGAAAGGTTGTGTACCTGAATTAATATAAAACAAAATAGATTTCAAGACAAAAAACAATACTAGAGATAATCCAGATCAATTTATCAAGACATAGCAATCCTAAATATGTAGATTTCACCAAAAATTCAAATACATGAAACAAAAATTGATAGAAATAAAGGAAAAGATAAAAACACAGAAAATTTAACATCTTTCATTCAGTAACTAATTTAACAAATCAATTAAGAAATCAGGAAGGGCAGGGATTTAGCTCAGTGGTTCCACCACCTGCCTCACAAGCTCAAGGACCCGAGTTCAATCCCCAGTACCAAAAAAAAAAAAAAAAAGAAGTCAGTAATACAGAATTTATAAAACATTGTATCAAATACCATAACATAACTAAATTGCAAATAGAATACCACATCTATTTGTCAAGAGCTGGGCTAAGCTGGAGAAAGTACAGATGCCAGGTGTCAGAACAGCTAATTAAGAATAAGCCAAGATGAAAGTACTGTAAAAGTCAAGCTTTTTTTTTTAAATTAAATATTAAACCCAGGACCTTCACACAGAGCTACATTCCTAGCCCCTTTAATAACTGTTTGTTTGTTTGAAATAACATCTCGCTATGTAGTTCAGGTTGGCAATGAACTCACTATGTAGCCCAGGCTGTTTTTGAATTCATGGTGATCCTCTTATCTCAGCCTCTCAAGTGCTGGTATTAGAGGCTTCTGCTACCATGCCCAGCAGTCAAACCTTTAAACATTCACTAATCATTTAGTAGAAACAAGAGGCTAACCCAGAGGAAGCACCAATCCCACCACTGTTCAATTTTTCTCCATGGAATAGCACTGCCAAGGGAGCACCAAACAAATGGCTCTTGCCATTTTACAGACAGCAATAACAGGGGAAAGGAAGATGGAGGAAAGGCAAGAAGTAGAAAAGTTTTGAGTATTGGTTTACAGGAGAGACAAAGTGCTTTCAAGGCTTTAACCCTTGTCCTCCATAAGGATGTCTTGGCAGTGGTGTCTAATAAATAGGGCTCCAGGGCCAGGCATTTAGCTCAGTGGTCCTGCTGCCTGCCTCGCAAGAGCAAGGACCTGAGTTTGATCCCCGGTATCAAAAAATAAAATAAAATAAATTTAAAAAAATAAACAGGCTTCCTAATAGAGATGACTGCATTTCTAAATGCAGATATGCTTAAGAGCATGACTAGCTAGAAGGGCCTGAATCCTTAACTTCAAGTCAATAAATACCCTAAAAATGGAATCAAGTAGAGTATATTCTCTGTTTTTTTTCCACATAATATTAAATTAGAAAACAGTAACAGTAAGAGGTCTAGAAAAATCCCCAATATTTGGAAATTAAACACTTCTATATTAAGTCATGGGTCAAAAAGAAATCATAAAACTTATTTGAAAGTATGTCGAACTGAATAACTTATGATAACAAATTTTGTAGGCTGCAGCAAAAACAATATTTACAGGAAGGTTTACAGTTTTAAATATTTATACTGTATTAGAAGAAAAAGGAAGTGAAAGATCAATGATTTAGGACCCCACTCGAAGAAAGTGGTTTACAGCCTGATTTAAAGGAAGGATGGTTTTCTTCATAAAAGAATACCTGGTAATAAATGCAGAAGAAATGATAGGATTGGAATATAATTTTGTGAACTCTGAAAAAATAACCCAGCATCCAGTAAAGATATCAACAGCTACTAAAACCACATTTAAGAGAACAAACAAGCTTGGCATGGTGGTTCACACCTGTAATTCTAGCTCTAGAAAGGCTAAGGCAGGAGGATAACTGTGAGTTCGAGGCCAGCCTGATTTAAGTGAGTTCAAGGACAACCTAAACTACATAGTGAGACCCTGTGAAGAAAGAAAGAAAGAAAGAAAGAAAGAAAGAGGAAGAAACCAAATACTATGCAGCATGCCACATCATAGAAGTATGTCACCATGTACAAAGGATTAGTGTAAAACAAACAAAAAACCTGAATCTGATCAAGCCTTTATAATAATTACACAACTGTTTACAAGAAATGCAGGGGTGGAAAAACATTTAAAGACACCAGAGCCAAGCAGTCAACAAAATCCAGAATATTGGTAACTCTACAAAGCAACTCTTTCTAGAACAAAAAACTGTAAGGAAGAAACCGTGGAAAAACTTACAGATAAGAAAAATATTATAATAAAGACACTGGTTCTTGATCCTAATATAAAAATATTTTGGGGCATAGGCTGGGGATTTAGCTCAGTGGTTTCGCTGCCTGCTGTGCAAGCCCAAGGACCCGAGTTCGATCCCCGGTACCAATGGTGAAATTTGAACACTGACTGGCTTTTTCATGACATTAAGAGAGTATTGAGTTTTTTCATTTTAGTAGTGATGATACTATGGCTATATATTTTAACTAAAAAGTTTTGTCTTTCAGACATATGTATTAAAATATTTATAGATGAAATTATATTATCTGGAATTTTCTTCAAGATAACCCATGTTGGTTGTTTCATTTTGTTTTGAAGGGATGGCAGAAGGAGTGGAGGACCTACAGATAAAGACATGTTTAACCATAAAATGACATTTGTTGAAGCGGGATGATGGGAAGATAACGTGGGGATGCATGATGCTGTTTTTTACTTTTGTATATCCTTTAATTTTTTCCATAAAAGTTTTTTTAAAACCCTGAGATTCCACATATGAAAAATGATATTCCAGAGGACAATTTTTCAGTAACTGTTAATTTGTCAGGTCTTTCTTTTTGTTTTCTAAATCATGCTAACAAACATGTAGTAATACTGATCTTACAGTTTATATTTGGATGTTCCCCCCCAAAGCCTCATGTGCTCATAGGTGGGGCTTTTAGGAGGTGACTGGCTTATTGGGGTGGTGTGTGATACTCATCACTGGATTAGTCCACTGATGAGTTTATAGCTAAATGTGATGTTGGGAGATGAAATCTGGTCAGAGGAGGTGGGTCACTAGAGTCATGGCCTGGAAGTTTACGTCCCTCTCCCTTCTCTCAATTGTTCTCTGATTCCTGTCACCACCATATCCCTATGCCATGCAGTCCTTCCTTAAAGCCAGCTGACTATAGACTGAAACCTCTACAAACTGTGAAGCAGAATAACCTCTCTCCCTTTAGCTTTTGGGTATCAGGTATTTTGTCCCAGCATTGAGAAAGTAACTAAGATAGTTGATATCAGAAAACAAATGATACCTTTTTGAAATCATAAACAAGGGCATGCAACAGTTTGTAGAAAAGAGATTCTTAGGCTGGGGATACAGTACAATGGTTGAATGCATTGCTTGCATGTCCAAAGACCTGGCTCTATCCTCAACACAAACAAAATAAATGAGGAGCGTGGGATAGGAGAGATTAATTTTCATTTAATGTGGAGGAAAAGATTGTTTAACAGTATAAATTCTAAGACAATTTCTAAAAATTGGGTAATGGAGAAAAAGATAAGAAAAGAAATAAGTGATGAAATACATCAATTTTATTATTATTCAGAATTCAAGTAGAACATATGTCAAAAGTATTAAAATAAACTAAAAGTAGGCCACATCTAGATATCTGCCCCCAAATAAAAAAGTCATACATTAAATTACTGATTGCTGTATTATGTAATGTCAAAATACTGGAAAAAAACAAATGCCTATCCATAAGACTAGCTGAATAAATTATTACTACTAAGCAAAAGAACATACAGCTATAAAATAAAGAATGAGAAAGAACTCTCTAACATGCTATGGAAGGATTTCTAGGAATATATTAGATGTGTTAAAAAGAATAAAAATTCCATACAAACACATCC